CACTGCAAAAAAGCAGCAAATTTTTAATAGCAGTATTTTGATGGACTATAGGCAACAACAGTCTTTGGCAGAAATTTTATAACAAACCTTTGAAAGTTACAAAACATATTATTCTAGCATACCTTCTTGAGACTGTTAAATTAGTTTTTATATAGTTTCTAGTTTCAAAAAAAGAAAAGGAGTAAAAAAGTTTCTAGTTTGCAGTGTAGAAAGCCTTAAAGGAGGTAGTTACAGAGCACTAACTGCCCAATGTAGACACTGCTGGCATGTCCTAAAAGGTATTTAGTTTGCATTAGAGTCCTCTGTAAATAATACCCCCTCTAGACCACTTTGCTGCCATGCAGACAAGGCCATAGATTACTAGAGATATCAAAATGAGCAAGCTGTCTTTCTGGGCTATACAAAGATTGATACCTTGCAGCCATGCTACTGCCAAAAGGAGAAATAATGTCTAGATTTTAAACCTTTAAGGAGACTTTCACAAAAAAGGTGTCCCAGCTGTGTGACGTGCACATAGTGTCAAAAAGGAGTATGCCCTAAAGCCCTTTACATTTGTGTTCAAAAGCATCCAATTTAGGACTGAACACCGACTGATTTAAGAAACTTGTGTTTCCAGTCTGCTCTCTATATACGTGGAAATACAGTCAAACAAAAACATGATCTTAGCTGAGGTTGTAGTATAACAAGCTTCTAGCAAGATACAGAGTAGTAGATGTTAGACTCTAGATATTCAGGCCCGCCTGTAAAGGTCTATACTTTAAGAATTTAGGTGTATTTTTATCACTTAGCTAGTTATAGAGGTATAAAACAAAGAATCAAAATCACAAGTTTGCCTGTGTATGGGCCTTCTCCCGCTAGGATAGCCTGAGACCCTGTTCTTAGGCTAAGGCCTTTGGCTAAGCAGCAGGGGCAGCCATAAGCTGGGAAGTGTATGGTCACATCCTCACATCGCAAATCAGTCACATTGAAATAAGATGGTATTGGGCTGTTAGGAAGATGATCCTCTCCTGATGGTGCCCATCACCCCCAGATAAAGAAACAGATCTTAAGATGGTTAAAGAAAACTTAGTTTGATAGCATCCTGTCTGGCAAGAAATCACTTATCAGTGGTTGTGGAACCCTCATTTCTGTATTGTCTTATCTTTATGGCCCCCACTTTTCTATTGTTAATCTGTCTGGTTCTCTAATTGTTTCTGTCTGCTGTAGAATTAATTTTGCTAGGTGTAAGTTAATCAGGGTAGTGGGATACAATTGGTTAGAGAATTATGTTACAATATGTTAGCGTTGGTTAGTTAAATTTCAGTAAAATGATTGGTTAAGATATAGCTGAGAATATTACTATATAAACTGGGGTCAAACAGGAAGTGGAAGAGGAAATTGGAATCATGCTTGCTAATGGGAGGAAGGAACTGGAACAGGGAATACAGACACAGGGTAAATGCTCTGCAGTGTTAGAGCTGGGATGGGGGACATGGGCTAAACACTCTGTGGCGTCAGAGCGGGGATGAGGGACGCAGGGTAGCATCAGAGCTGGGAACGGTGTCACAATATGGCTGCCCCTGGGGGTCCCCTGGGTAAACACCAACATTATATATTTCTGATGCTTTTATATATATTGGAAAGGATCTCTGGAAGGGTTAAAGGTATAAGTGTGGAGTGAAAAATTTCTTTGCACTGGGGAACAGACTATCGGCTTATCGAGATAAACCTGACTGGTGTGAAGGGCTTCAGAAAACGCTTGCTTGGAAACTAACACCAATAAACGTTGCATTGTCTGCTCTTCCGACTTCTGGTCTTTTGCTGCTTGCTGTCTGTGTGACAAGAACCATGGAAGTGGGAGGGTTGAGGAAAAGCCCTCTGACAATAGATAACTTTAAGGTTATTGTAGCATTGAAGAGGATCCTGGTAAAGAATAATCTAAAAAGCAGTAAGTAGTATGAGAGCTAAAGAGAATGTTTTGGGAATTGGATTCTCTCTCACATACAAATTACAGTGAAACTGTACAACATGAAGATTTGCACAGACATTTATTTCCCACAGGTTTAGGTTTTACATTAACAATCTATTACACTGAATGGTTAAATAGTTACTGAAAAGATGGCAAATTGTGGAGGGAAAATTCTAGACAAAGGGAAACTATCACATTCAGCAGCATTTTAATGGTACATTAATTGCAGAACTTACACACAGTTCTCATTACTGAATAATCTTATTAGTAAGCCAAATTCCTGTGCAACTGGAATTTCCTACTACCAGTGTAAAAAAAACCAACCCCCCCCCCATTCTGTAATAGTCTGACTAATGGCATGTGCGTGTCAATGTTCTTAGGGAACTAAATATATTTTAGTCAATTTGCAGCGATTGAACACTATCCTTCACACCTGCCAGCTTTGTTGTGGTTGAAGGGAAAGTTTCAAAACAGAGATTCCAAAATGCATAGTGGATAACCACTAACAGAGGGCATTCGTCGATTTAACAGTGGAGACGAAGTTACACATACCAGGTAATTTAATAAATTGAAGCATTGTTTGGACAAGCGTTTAAACAGAAAGCATATGCAGTAGCTACATTTCCTAATCTAGCAGGCTACAGAGATTAACTTAATGTTCGTGTACTTTTCAGAGTGTTTTAGCTAAAGTAAGTTTGCAGCCATGTAGAAGTCAGTATAATGTAAGCTACCTAAAACAGCGCATAAAACTAAAAAAGTGCACTTGTCTTTTGGTCCATATTCCATATTTAAATGCCCCTTTTACTTTCTTTCCATTCATAGGCTATAATTGGAAAGGATCAAAATCAGGTTAGTGTAAAACTTAGTCACAGTGTAGGAAAATGCCAGCTGTCATATTTTGTAGTTGAAATGCATTTGTGATCAACAATTAAGTCTAGGGCAGCAATTCAAAACCAAATATGTAATTTTTCATAAAATTGGCATTATACTTCACTTAGTGCAACATTTAAACACAATTCTTCTCCCCTTTAAAAACATTCCTTTTTCCTCACCACAAGGTTGACTGAGGTATGTAATAATGAAGCAAGTGAGATGCTTTATTTTAAAATATAATGCACATTAGGTTATACGTGTCATATAAGCAAATACATTCATTGTCATTTTAAATTCTAGTGGCAAGAGACACTAGTGACAGAATATCCAACCTAGACAGAGAGGACCAGCACTTGTTAAACAATGCACTTTCAATACTTTAAAAACCAAAAACTGAACAGCCAGACACAGGAAGGCAACATAAATGGTTAGTGAACTGATGATGTTATTTTTCCAGGGTATGTAACTTTCAGCCTGAGTCTGTAATGCCAATACAGCTGGTCTCCCTCACCTCAACTCCTTTCCTACAATCAGGCTAGAGCTTTGATGCTAGCTTCCAAGATACACTGCAAACTTACCTTTAATTGGCTTATTTGAAAAAAACCCCATGAAGTCCTTATATTTTCCCTGACTCTTAAGAGCTCCTGGTCAATAGTTAAGGGGCTTTGTGCTCCTACTTATGTAAATAGTCTTTTTTTGCACAGGCCAGAGAGCAACACCATTAACCACACTTACACTTACTCCCCTGCACCTGCTCAAGACACACATGTTCCTGTTTAGATGATAACCACCCCTTGCAGACTCTGAAGATGGGCACGCACCATCAACACTACAGCAGAACTGATTATACAGCGTTTTGAGCTCTACCACCCAGGGAAGCAAACTTGAACACTTAACTCTGTGATAGGAATGCTGTGACATGTAATAATGGTCAGGTGATTTTTCAAGTTGACACCGTCCCTGTCCTGAATACTGCATCGGGGGAAAACTTGTTCCGTGTAAAAATTTAAGACTAACTAAAAAACCTGTAAACAACAACTGTAAACAAAGTAGGCTGCCTTCTAGCACCAGGGCCCTGCCGATAATAATGATACCATATCACATTTGGTGCTGTTATTCTCAAAAGCAGGTGGAGGGCACATCCAGTAACTTTGTAGTGACCACACATTTTTGTAGCACGTACCACTGAACCGGAAAAGATTTTATGGTGCAGAACCTTCATTATAATTACTTGAAGGAAACAAAGTACCATCTACAATTATTTGCCTGCTTCTGAAATGCCAGTTTTCTATACTATGTATAAAATGAGAATTTCTCAGATTACTGGTATAAACGTGTCCAAACCCAAGAAGTATTTCTAGAGTAGGGCAGTATCAATATTTTATATCCCCCTATGCAGATTCACAGACCTAATTCCTAAAGGGAGGGCGTCAGATAACATTTACAGGTAAAAAAATAGCACGTTCTCTTCCTCAACAAGGCTATCTTTTAATCTGATAGGCTACATAAGGCAGGCTTTAAAAAGATCTGAGGACAGACGAGCCAAAGTCTGCAGTAGTGGAAAGTCAAGTATTTGGATTTCTACAGTACCCAATGTCAAAGAAATTGGAAGACAAACAGCAGCTGATCAGGAGACATTATAGCTCAGTCCAGAAGGTGGCACTGTTTAACAGGATGAGCCCCAATCAGTCCAAGTTTCCACAGCGGCTAGTTTTTGCAGAGCTAGGTGAAGAAGGGAACATTGAACAATTTAGGCTCTTGTTCTTCTTCTTTTGGGCTAGGAGTGTGAAGTTTGACTGGCAAAACTAAACCTTTATCAGACTCCCCCCCGCCCCCCACTACTACTGTTGGATTTTAAGGATTACCTAAAAACACCAAGCCCTGTTGCTCCAAAGGAAACAGCCTCGAAGGAATCCTAGGGCATGTCTACTCTACAAAGTTAAGTTGACATCCAGCCACCACAGTAATTAAGTCAGTTGTGCATGTCCACACCGTGCTCATTGTGCTGGTGGAGTGCGTTCTCACTAGCAGTGCACCGGGGTAGCTATCCCACAGTGCAACTAGCCGCAGAGGGTTTTAGGAAGGGCTTGTAATGCCTCCTGGGACCAAAACATTGTCGCAGGGGGAAAATGGGAACATGGCTTTGGCCTTCCATGATGCAGTTTCCTCCCTCCCTCCCTCCCTCCCCTGATATGAATGGCAAACAGCCTATACTTTCTCAAGTCTTTTTTTCGAAAGCTTCGCTTAGCCATGGACCCCACTCAGCTGTACAATCTTGTGAGAATTTTCAACACCTCGCCTTACCCTGCAGTATTTCCAGAGCGGAGACAGGAGCTGCCGCATGGAATACAGCGATGTCATTCAAGCAGCCCTGCTGCAAGCCATAGAACAATTCCCGGTTGCTGCTGGCAATCGTGCAGCAGTTGAACACGGTGGAGTGCAGTTTCTGGTCCCGGGAAACAAGCACTGACTGGTGGGATCACATCATTACACAGCTATGCGATGACTAGCAGTGGCTGCAAAACGGCTGAATGCGAAAGGCCACGTTCCAGGAACTTTGTGCAGAGCTTTCCCCAGCTCTGAAGTGCAGCAACACTAAAATGAGACCTGCTCTGACAGTGGAGAAGTGAGTGGCGATGGCTCTGTGGAAGCTTGCAATGACAGACTGTTACTGGTCAGTGGGGAATCAATGTGGAGTAGGTAAATCCACTGTGGGAGCTGTTGTGATCCAAGTGTGCAGGGCCATTAATTGAATTGTACTAAGAAGGGCAAGAACTCTGGGCAACGTGCAGGACATAGTGGATGGTTTTGTCACAATGGAGTTCCCGAGCCGCAGTGGGGTGATAGAAGTCTGCATATCCTTATCTTGGCAGCCGACCACCTAGCCAAAAAGAGTACATAAACCATAAAGGATATTTTTCAATGGCGTTGCAAGTGCTGGTGGATCACAGTTTGATGGACAGAACATGGGATGGCCAGAACGGTGCATGACACACGCATCTTTAGGAACATAGGTTTGTTCAGAAAGCTGCAAGCAGGGACTCTTTCCAGATCACAAAATAAGCGTTGATGTTGTTGAAATGCTAACAGTGATCCTGGGAGATCTAGCGTACCCCCTGCTCATAAAGCCGTACCCTGTGCTCAGAAACAGTCTTTTCCAGGGCGCACAGTCTGTGTAGCAGGAGTGGCCACTGGGAAGCAGATACCCACTGAACCTCACTTTTTCTTCCGATTAAACATAAAATATAAGAGAATGTAACCCCGACAGTTTGATTGGAATTGCATACTCACCAAAAGGTGCCTTTCCTGGCATCACACTTGGCCACCATGCTGTCCTGCGACCAGCTGGGCTCTGGGGTTAAAAATACCTCTTGGTTCTCTGTGAGAATGGATCCACCACTCACCTGTCTCCCATTCTCCTCCTCCTCTTGCTTGTCCAGAATATCCTCCTCGTTGTTGCCTGAGGTGGCCCAGGACTCAGACTCCTGGGAGATATCCACGCTACATTCGGGGTTAGTGATGTGGTCACCATCAAGAATTGCATCCAGCTCATTGTAGAAGCAGCATGTGTGTGGTGCAGAACCAGAATGACTGTTAATCTTCTGGTACATCTGCCGAAGTTCTTTGATTTTTACGCGGCAATGCTGCGTGTCCCTGCTATAGCCCTGCTCCTCCATGTCCCATGTGATCTTCTCGTAGATGTCTCTCTCGGCTGGATCAGAGCGGTGCCTACACAGACTCTTCTCCCCTCAGACCAATAAGATCCACCACCTCCTGTGTACTCCACGCTGGAGTGCATTTGAATCCCCATGATCAGCTGGGCTGGTGAGCTCTCCACGCTGATCCAACAGGAAATTGGAATTCAAAAGTTTGTGGAGCTTTAAAAGGGAAGGGGCGGTTTCCTGTGTACCTGGCTGCTGTGCAGTGGAGTTGAAAACCATCTCCAGAACGGTCACAAAGGAGCATTGTAGGACACCTCCTGGAGGCCAATTCAGTCGACTTACATCAATGTTGATGGGTAGACAAAGAGGCAGTATTGACACAGGATTGTGTAAGCACACCACCTCTTGCGGAGGGGGAGTCATTAAGTCGACATTACAGGTGAGTTAGGTCAGCAGAAGAGACCTGGTAGTGTAGAGGCATACATTATTAGGGAGACATAAGGCGGCTTCCATTGACCTAAGTTTGTAGTGTAGACCAGGCCCTAGATAATGGGCTGGTGTGGCTAACCTGGTCAAAGACCCCCCAGCCACACCAATATGCCACTCAGCTGCTTAATCAAATGGGGAAGACAGGCTGATAAAATAAAGGGAGACCTTGTAGAGCCTGTGTACCTGGGCATCACCACAAGAGGAGCTTTCAGAAAAAGCTGGGTTTTTCCTGCTTCTGCCAGTTTGTCTGCTATTAACTCTTTAATAAGTAAAGACAAGAAGTTCAGTCAGGAAAAGTTCTGGAACCTTAGTGGGAGCTGGGAAGTTATGCTGCCAATCAAGAAGATGCTAAGAATCTGGCAGCCCACATATCCTACTCTCATTGGCTGCTCAGGCCCTTCCAAGTGTGGTAAGTGAAAACCCATCTCATTTAAAGAATGACCTTGTTCACTCATTGTTTAGAAGAAGTCAGTTTTATTTCGGCATAGAGAGAACAGGCAGATGTATATCAGATGAGACTGTATATTCAATTTTCCCTATTAAAAATTAAACAAAGCAAGAGGATGGAGAGATTAAAGACAGATTTTGATGGAAATAAATTTAGTAAATTGCTAAAACTCGTGCTGAAGAACATATTAAAGCATCTTGGAGACATGCATTTACATATAGGAACCACAAGGCAAAGTGGTAGCTGGATTATAAACAGAATTATAAACTACCAAGTAGAATCGCTTACCAATCTGAGGTAAGCAAGAGCTTTATTTGCTCAACATAATGAACAGACTGAATAAAATAAAGGGAAAGTGAAAAACAATGCTCATCCTTTGGAAAAACGAATCATACCATTAGCTGGTCAATAAAAATCAACTTTTCTAAGGCAGAAATATTCCCACATGGATGCCTGGTAAGTGCAATTTATCATCAAGTGGCTCGTATGCTTTTGTCCTAGTCTTAAGGAACCATCAGGGCTACATATTTATCTCTGATGCAATATTATTTTTGTACTGAACATTTACCAAGGCCCAAACTGGAGGGAATGAGTTTTACGAATGTGCTGTAAGTGACCAGATGCGCAGTGTTAAAGACAAACTATTGATTTTACTCTACCCTGAACACCAGGGGTCCACTTCATCCCTGTCTATCTACATTTACGTAACTCCATTTTTCCATGTTCATCAGTACTCCACTGACTGGGAACCGCAATCCCAAGTAATTACCAGTGACAATTTCTTGGTAGAGGGACACAGAAGTGCTATTCATCTTCTTAGAGAAATGGCAAGGGCCATTTCAGATCTGCTCAAGAAAGTCCTGACTGTTCACAAAATATTAAGTTATATGGCTCCCGTTACTGTAGTATTGGAGTGTCTCAGTCTAATGTATTCTCTCCATCCCATCCCATGCTATAGCTCCCACTGTACAGATGGCGAACTTTGGCACAGAGGGACTGCGGGAGTTGCACAAGGTCACGCAGGAAGTCTCTGGCAAAGCAGGGAATTGAACTCCATGTCTCCAAAGTCCCAGGCTAGCACTAACAACCAGGACCATCCTTACTCACCATGGGATCCCGATCCTGACAGGGACCTCTGGGCATGCTGTGATTAATAAAGAAGGCTAAAACAGCAGAACTGGGTTCAGCTTTGTATCCTGTTGACTATTATGCAACTCCACTCTTAATTCAGTGTGAGAACATTCAAAAGAAAACAGTGCTGAAAGAGAGAATTATTTTGCCAATGGATCTCTGAGTTCTGTCCCCAACAGGAAAAGATTTCAGTCTCACTAAACACAAATAAACAGAATGGAGAAATTCAGAGATGCCTGGGGAAAAAAAAGTGCAACAAACAAACAAAAAAAACGCATCCAAGTGAAGATACTGAAGTAGCCACACAAAATTAAGGGAGAATCTCTTTGAATCTTGATTACAATTTTGGGTCTTTATTGGTCCCAAGCGGGAGGCAAAGTTTTTTCCTCAAATGCATGCAGGATTCCCACTGTCATTCATGTGTGAGATCATGAGGAAAAATCTGGCCCCATCTTTTCCATCTGGCCCCACCGCACACAAGTGATTCTGTAACATATCTGCTCTCACACAGTGCTTTGCCAGACTTTTGGCTCATCCAAAAATCAGCAAGCTTGTATATAATAAAGTGATACTTATCTCTTATGCCCAAACCACTTCAAGTTAGAGCTCAGGGAAGTCAGCATTTCTTCCTAGAAATGTGATTAGGGTTGTGGTTTTTGTTTTAAACATATCCGAGTGTATGCACAGCATATAGTGAAAAGATGAAAAAGGCTTTATTGAAAAAATATGCAACATTTGTTTAATGCAGTCTCCTGTAAAGAATCAGGATACTCACGTGGAATATGTACACATTCATTGCACAGTTAGTTCCTACATACTACAAAATAGAAAGATTTAAATGCTAATAATTAATCTGGTCCTTTTTCCCCAAGCTCTTTTGTAAACAGTAAGGACATTCTTGCACAGTATTCTAAAATAATAGTTATAGCAGCCCTAATATTTTGGGCTAAGAAAAATCATATCAATATTTTTCACCTACATTTAAGTCTTATGAAACGAAGCAATCTGCTTATGAGAACATACAATAATTTCCTTTAGTTTGCTTAAAACAATGGTTTCTTTCTGCAACTAGATGGGGCTACACAGAATCGGTTTCAGATGTCTGACATCCCACCTTCTCTTCAGCAAACCAACCCAAGACTGAGGAAATATGCTCCCCACCCTCTGCCCAATACTGTATATATTTAAACAATCCTGCCAGGGCTAAGCTTTAACAATTATCCCCTTTGATACCACTTCAAGGATCACACCAGGTGGTAAGGACCACCCCCCCCTTTTTTTTCTTGCTTGATACCAAGGTCAAAAAAGCTTCAGGATCACCATCAGGTCGTAGAAAATAGAGAGAAAAGAGACCTATTGGATCATCTAGTCTCTTGTTACTACTGCAGAATTCTTCCCTGCAGTACGGTTTGTTAGCCCTCTGTCCAGTTGGAAATGACCCATGCAATGAGTTTGTTTCTTCTATCCTCGGGAAACGACTGCTGTTATCTAAGAAAACTGTTGCTAGTAGTCAGCATCCATTTTCCTTTGCCTAATTTCATCTCATTTCTAGTTCCTACCTTAGTGAAAAACACCACTCTTCTCAGCTTCTCCTCCAACCCGACACCGCGAAAATATCTTTCTTTACTCACCAGTACTGAGCAGGAACACAAGTAGCTACATTAATATCTTGCCTCAGGTCAGTTGCCAACACATTCATTTATTCTCAGTGCAATGTACAATAATAGTGGGGCTTATTTTCTGTAAGCATTGCAGTAATCACTGGTTTTTAAGCCACACAGACTGAGTAGATTCCCTGAAGGGGAAAAAAAGCTAACAGAGGATCGATGAAAATCTGATAAATTTAAATTTAAGAGTGGAGGAAGGCTAGTGTTTTCTGCATTCATGCAGTGGAAAAATCCTGTAACTAAAATAAACAGCAACTGTAATCAACTACCCCAAGAAAATGGAGGATTTCTGCTTGTACTTCTTAGGATGTAATTTAACATCCCTGTTGAAAGATGCCCTTTGCTCACCTTCAAATAAAAAGAAAAAGGATAATTGTATAGATTAATTGCACTGAGGGTTTCTCCTCACAGCTATAACTGAAAGAATGGAGTAGGCAACGGGAATTTTGTGATCCATGCTGATCAAAGGGCCGAAAGAAACTGATACTAAGGGCTTGTCTACACTTACGGGGTGAATAGACGTGTGGCGACTGATAAATCAGCGGTCAATTTAGTGCGTCTAGTGAAGACCCACTACATTGACCACAGATGGCTCCCCCGTCGACTCCTGTACTCCACCGGAATGAAGCACAAGGGAGTCGATGGGAGAGTGTCTTCCGTCGACATAGCATAGTGTGGACCCCGCAGTAAGTAAATCTAAGCTATGTAGACTTCAGCTACATTATTCATGTAGCTGAAGTTGCGTAATTTAGATCCATCTCCCCCCATAGTGTAGACAAGGCCTAACTCTTATCCCAGAGATTGGACATTCCTCTTAACTCTCCCACCGTCGAATCCTTGTACTTTTATTTGGGAGATAAAGGAGCTGCAGTTCAAGTGAGACAGGTCTATTTTCCCCTTCACATACACAAGACGTAGCTCCAATGAGAGCTATGTGATTACATCAAGAGGAGAACAGACCCCCTTTAACTCTTATGCATCCTCCAGACAAGACAATTCTTTTTGTTAGTAGACTGAACCCTGAACTGCCCAATCAGAAATTTTTCTAGGCACAAAGACGCAAACAAACAAACCAACCCACAAAATGGGATTTCTCAGTCTCTCATCCACAGCATTTAAATTGTAAAGATCAAGAAGAGGACTTCATTACAATTTGCAGAGAAGTCTTTTTTCACAGTACAGTCAAACCCTCTTACAGCCAAATGGGGTTTGTGGATGTTGGAGTCTCTGGTTCTCCTCCATTTTGGAGGGTAAAAACTCTGCTTAATTTTTTGTTTGGTGGATTTGTACTTACAGCGCCTATGAGGGAGAGGCTAAAAGACACAGGGGTAAATCCTCAGCTGGTGTAAATTGTTAGCGCCTCAGACTTCAATGGAACTATAATTTACACCAGATGCTGAACTGCCCTCTTAGTGTTTATCTTTGGGCATGTCTACACTACAAAATTAAGTTGCCCTAAGTGCTGTCAATGTACAGCCACCGCAGTAATTAAATTGCTTTTGCATGTTCACACTACGCTCCTTGTGTTGGCAGTGCACGTCCTCACCAGGAGCACTTGCACTGATTGAACTGTCAGTGCGGGGCATTGTGGGACGGCTTCTGAAAGGCAGCAACAGGCGATGTAAGCAACGCAGTGTCTACACTGACACTGCCTTGACCTAACTACATTGACTGAAGCACTACGCCTCCCTTGGAGGTAGAGTTATTAAGTCAGTGTAGTGGGCAACTGATATTAAAAAGTAGCTCCCACCAACGTAGACGCTTACAGAGTTAGGTCGACGTAAGCTGCCTTACACTGACTAACTCTGTAGTGTAGACCAAAGCTAAGTGTACACATTTTTACGAAAGAAAGATACTGGTCTGAGTTGCTTTGCCCAGTATTTCCGGATGTTTCACCCATCCCGCTACATACTTGTTCAGAGCAGCAGCAAAGTGGATCTTGTTTTTAGGAAAGTAGCCCGACCCTTCCAAGGTATTGTGGAGTAGCATAATTGAGCAGTTTCACCCCAGCTAAGCAACAAGCATTTGGACATTGGCAAACCACTGAGTTATCTTGCACAGCTTTTTTAGCAGAAGAAATTTCAGTCATCATTAAGGCTGCATGTCGGTCACGGATTTCAGGACTTTCAGTGACCTCCGTGACTTTGCCCATCAACAACAATAGTTTGGATATGGGAGGGGGCTCAGGGCTGGGGTGCGGGATGACGCTTACCTGGGGCGGGGGGCAGCTCCCCAGAAGCAGCTGGCATGTCCCTGCAGCTCCTAGGCAGAGGGGCCAGGGGGGCTCTGCGCAGTACCCCTGCCTGAAGGCAGCACCCCCGAAGCTCCCATTGGCTGAGGTTCCTGGCCAGCAGGAGCTGTGGAGTTGGTGCTCGTGGGGCGGGCAGGCAGCACACAGAAGCCCCCTCTGGCCTTCCCTCCCCTCCCATCCCCTTCCGCTAGGAGCTGCAGGGACATGCCGGCTGCTTCCGGGGAGCCACACGGAGCCGGGTAGGGAGCCTGCCAGCCCTGCCAACCTTCTCCCCTCCGCCAAGCACCAGCGGGGGTCCTGGGCTGTGTGCTCGTGCCCGCCCCCAGCACCCATGGTGGCCCCACCCCCCAAAATTACCCCTGGCCCAAGTTTTCATTAGGGGTATATAGTACAAGTCATGGACAAGTCACTGGCCATGAATTTTTCTTTACTGCCCACGACCTGTCCATGACTTTTACTAAAAATATCCGTGACTGAATTGTAGCCTTAGTCATCATACAATATGGAACAGGGTGTAATGACCCACCTTTGAAAGGTTTTCCAGTGCGAGGATAAAATCAGCAGCCAGCTACCATGAGAGAAAGCAGGATGGCTTGCAAAAGAATTAACATTTACATTAGAAAAGATGCTTTTAGCTAAGCCTTTATCATGTTTGAAAATATATGTTAAAATGGGCTGCTTAGAGGAGAAGCAGATACTTGGCAGCATGTCCAATAAAGCGAGAGTAGGGTCACTTTAAAAAGGAGAATATGAGGACTGGCAAACCTATACATATAGAGCAAATAATGCAAAGCACAGAACTATCAGGAAGATGGACCAGCCCTGGCGCGCGCACACACCTACTCACTCACCCTTTACTAGGGCAACTGATGATGGGTGAAGAACTAATTATATTTTATTCACCCACTTTAAAAGAAAGTTGCCTACTGCAGGCAAGGGGCAAGAGTAGATGTTTGCAGAGCTATAATAGCACACTACAGCACTTGAAATCCGCAGCCTGCTTTACAAAAGTGGGTGTGTATCATTACACTCCAGTTTACAGTGGGGGAATGATGCACAGAGAGGGGCAAGTCACTTCAAGGCCACATGGAAGACCTAGCTTGTGCCACTGACTTGCTGATTACCAGTTGTGTATCCATGTCCCCAGATCATGGTGCCTACCTTGTGGATGTTGGAGTCTCTGGTTCTCCTCCATTTTGGTGGGTAAAATAGTGGTGGGTAAAATAGTGGCCCCATATGAAAGGTCCGGCAGTACCTGCTGCAGTCTTTCCACTTTTAGTTTCTTCAAAGCATGGCCATAATAATTTATTTATAAACGAAACATTCAGGAATCCAGAAAGCAAGGACCTTCCAGATGGGACCTCTGTGGAAGGAGGACAATTTCCCCCACCTATGAACCTCGACAATATCCCTTTAAAAAGGTCTTTGGGCCAGGGTGGGTTTTTTAATCATTTTTATTTTTAAAAAGAAACTGCCAAACCGGACAGCAGGACAATGGTGTGAGTCAGCCACATTAGTTTCTGGACTATATACACGATTAATAAAAACCATCAGCAATTTTAAAATAAATATAAATAACTGGGTGGGGAGCGGAAATGGGAAAGTTTAAATTCTCTCTAGCAAAAGAGACAGACGTAAACACTGACATGATGCTTTGTGAGGAAGAAACAGGCTTGTTTGGGCCCGACCAAGCCTGCTTAGATGCCCTTTTATACAATTCCACAGTTCTACAAGCTGCTGCCAATTTAATTTGAAGCAGCCTGTGCAGCCTCATCAAATTCAAACTGGTCTGGACACTCCTTGTTAATGCTCTGGGCTGGAAAACTATTTCAGTTATTGTAAGATTAGTTGCTAAGCAACCCAGCTCCTTATTTTGCAACCTGCGTGGCAAGGGAAGAGACAGAAGGAACTGAATTTCATCTTATGCAACAATAAAATGCCATCTCAAGGTGATATTTGCTAGAACAAGTAGATGGAAGAGCCCTTTTCGGAAAGGTGCAATGGTTCCACAGATCCTTTACGATGCAGTAAGAAAAGGTGCTGCTCAAAGTTGCTCCACGGAAGAGGCTGCTAGCAAAAACATCAAGAATAAATAGGTACTCTCTCTGGGGAGCTCTGATAGCTTTGTACAGTATGTTGCGATTGGAAACTTTCTTACAAGCCCAGACACAAAACAAAGAACCCTTTCACACAAAGCAACAAGTATACCAACGTAATGAAATATAAAAACTAAATTGCACGGCACACAGATTTTCCAGATAAACTCAAAATAACTGAACCGATCGTACAAACCGTTAGTTAAAAAAATACCTTCTCGGATATTTTGAGAACAAGTTGAAATAGAGTCTTCGTGCAAATGTTCAACCTTGATCGAGCCGATGCCTTGAAAAATCAACACAGATGTGTTAGCTCCTTCCTTATCTGCCATGTACACGCAGCATTTTATCTTCTGCAATACGATTAGAGTTAGGAAATCTGTTTCTTCAGTAAATACCGCCTTTAAGTTCCACGGGCGTATCATCAAGACACTACTGGTGTCATATCCCACAACTGTTAAAAACAACAAGAATGCATGTAATCGCCTAGGGGAAAGTATTGTGCTCTTCTGTTAATACGAGAAGCATTTTCTCCAAAGGTTTGAAAACGTTTGACCTCGTTTTAACTCATTTAACTTAAAACAGATCCTTCATTACGAGAAGCCAAAACATAAAACCAAGAACACAGCACTTTTGCTTATATGTCTGATTAGCATGCCCTGGCTGGGATGATTTAGTTGGGGATTGGTCCTGCTTCGAGCAGGGGGCTGGACTAGATGCCCTCCAGAGGTCCCTTCCACCCCTGAGATTCTATGATTCTAGGATTATGAGCTATAGTCCTTTCCTTTTGTCAAGGTAAGCTACATCTAGATAGCTAACCTCTGTTTTACTAGTGCTAATGCACCCAAGGTCTCAGTGTAAGAATTATTTTTAAGTTGCACAGGTGACAAAATCTATCGTCCATCACTATTACACAAAAACAGCCAAGGCAATTGGGTGGTGTATAGAAGACAGAATTTGTACAATGATTTTTTGTGCAATGAGAACTTTACAGTGTATTTTTAAATGAAATTTGAGACATTTGCTTAAGACAAAAACATTCCACCCTAGCAATCTATTGAGGCTGTACACCACTTATTAGCACTTAACACATTTTCAGTTTTTCAGGCACAAGGATACAGAACAATTCCTTCAATTCTTCAGCTGTTTGGATTTTTTTTTTTTCTTTTTTTTTTTTTTTTTTTTAAAAGAAGGTACTGTTTTATTTCCCCCATTTCTGCCACATCAGAGCTCCAGGTATGAAGCTCAGTGAAGTGACTGGTTTTATGAATTTCTTGCTCGTGGATGGCCCATGACCTGAATCAGGACTGGCCAGGATAAAAGACAGTTACCTTTTCCATAACTGATGTTCTTTGAGATGTAATGGACATGAGCAACTCACGTTAGCTGTGTGTGCTTGTCACAGGCACTGGTGCCAGAAGTTTTTCCCTCTGTGTCCGTAGGGGACCAGCTCTGGCACCCCCTGGAGTGGCGCGCGTATGCCACAGTATAAGGGTCACTGCGAGCTCCCCCCACCCTCAGTGCCTTCTTGCTGGAAACTCCGACAGTGGGGAAGGAGGGCGAGTCATGGAATGGACATGAGCAACACATCTCGAAGAATACCAGTTACGGAAAAGGTAACTGTCTTTTCTTCTTCGAGTGCTTGCTCATGTTATAGTTATAGTGACAAACAGGAACTGTCTGTTTACATGGGTAGCATCCAAGATACACACAATTAGTATTACTTCACAGATTTGCATTTCAAAGTTCCCATACCTTTCTAGCATGACTTTAAAGGTCGGCTTTGGGTCATCCAGCCTGCAAGCTGTTTAACCCCTTCTAGCCACGATTTTTAGTCTGTATAAGATTTGTTGCAAGTATAACACAGTGATAGAAATAATGGCTTACATAATTATATTTTAATCAGACAACGTCATAATGAGGTAATCCAGTTGGAGGTCCTCTGAGAGGACACCGAAAGGACCTTCATCCTGTCCACTGTCGTGATGAAGAACTGCATCGACCTGCGAAAGGTTTTGGTATGCTCCAGGTAAAACGCCAAGGCATGGTGGACGTCCAAGGCGTGTAGCCACCTCGCCTCATCAGTCTTGTGCGGCTTAGGTCAGAACACCGGGAGGAAGATGTCCTGGCTGATATGGAAGGAAGACATCACCTCTGGCAGGAAGGTCGGATGGGGTTGCAACTGCACCTTGTCTTTTTAGAAGACCATGTAAGGTGGTTCCGAGCTTAGGGCTTTAATCTCCGACACTCGTCAAGCCGACATCACTGCCACAAGGAAAGTGACTTTTCACGATAGGTGAGAAAGGGAACAAGAGCCCAAGGGTTCAAATAGCAGACCTGTGAGTCTGGAGAAAACAAGATTGAGGTACGATTGCGGGACAGGATCCCTAACGAGAGGGAAAAGCCTTTCGAGGCCTTTCATGAACCTGAAGGACATCTCATGTGAGAACACCGATCTACCCTGGATTGGCAGATGAAAAGCCGAGATGGCAGCTAGATGAAACTTGACAGAAGAGAGGGCCAGGCCCTGATTCTTCAGGAGGAGCAGGTAATTCCAAGAGAAGAGACTGCTGCGCTGGGCATCACAAAATGGGAAAGAGATGGCCAGCCCTCTGTGGAGATAGAGGTGGTTAGGGACTATTTAGAAAAGCTGGACATGCACAAGTCCATGGGGCCGGACGAGTTGCATCCGAGAGTGCTGAAGGAATTGGCGGCTGTGGTTGCAGAGCCATTGGCCATTATCTTTGAAAACTCGTGGCGAACGGGAAAAGTCCCGGATGACTGGAAAAAGGCTAATGTAGTGCCAATCTTTAAAAAAGGGAAGAAGGAGGATCCTGGGAACTACAGGCCAGTCAGCCTCACCTCAGTCCCTGGAAAAATCATGGAGCAGGTCCTCAAAGAATCAATCCTGAAGCACTTGCATGAGAGGAAAGTGATCAGGAACAGCCAGCATGGATTTACCAAGGGAAGGTCATGCCTGACTAATCTAATCGCCTTTTATGATGAGATTACTGGTTCTGTGGATGGAGGGAAAACAGTGGATGTATTGTTTCTTGACTTTAGCAAAGCTTTTGACACGGTCTCCCACAGTATTCTTGTCAGCAAGTTAAGGAAGTATGGGCTGGATGAATGCACTATAAGGTGGGTAGAAAGCTGGCTAGATTGTCGGGCTCAACGGGTAGTGATCAATGGCTCCATGTCTAGTTGGCAGCCAGTGTCAAGTGGAGTGCCCCAGGGGTCGGTCCTGGGGCCGGTTTTGTTCAATATCTTCATAAATGATCTGGAGGATGGTGTAGATTGCACTCTCAGCAAATTTGCGGATGATACTAAACTGGGAGGAGTGGTAAATACGCTGGAGGGGAGGGATAGGATACAGAAGGACCTAGACAAATTGGAGGATTGGGCCAAAAGAAATCTGATGAGGTTCAATAAGGATAAGTGCAGGGTCCTGCACTTAGGACGGAAGAATCCAATGCACCGCTACAGACTAGGGACCGAATGGCTAGGCAGCAGTTCTGCGGAAAAGGACCTAGGGGTGACAGTGGATGAGAAGCTGGATATGAGTCAGCAGTGTGCCCTTGTTGCCAAGAAGGCCAATGGCATTTTGGGATGTATAAGTAGGGGCATAGCGAGCAGATCGAGGGACGTGATCGTTCCCCTCTATTCAACATTGGTGAGGCCTCATCTGGAGTACTGTGTCCAGTTTTGGGCCCCACACTACAAGAAGGATGTGGATAAATTGGAGAGAGTCCAGCGAAGGGCAACAAAAATGATTAGGGGTCTAGAACACATGACTTATGAGGAGAGGCTGAGGGAGCTGGGATTGTTTAGTCTGCAGAAGAGAAGAATGAGGGGGGATTTGATAGCTGCTTTCAACTACCTGAAAGGGGGTTCCAAAGAGGATGGCTCTAGACTGTTCTCAATGGTAGCAGATGACAGAACGAGGAGTAATGGTCTCAAGTTGCAGTGGGGGAGGTTTAGATTGGATATTAGGAAAAACTTTTTCACTATGAGGGTGGTGAAACACTGGAATGCGTTACCTAGGGAGGTGGTAGAATCTCCTTCCTTAGAGGTTTTTAAGGTCAGGCTTGACAAAGCCCTGGCTGGGATGATTTAACTGGGAATTGGTCCTGCTTCGAGCAGGGGGTTGGACTAGATGACCTTCTGGGGTCCCTTCCAACCCTGATATTCTATGATTCTAAGAGCACGCTGGGGAGACGCTATGTTCAGATGCCCAATGGAAGAACCTCGTCCACTTCACCAGGTAAGTTGCTATAGTGGAGGGTTTTCTACTTCCCCAAAGGACCTGTTGCATCACCCTGGAGCAGGCTCGCTCCTCTGGGTTCAACCATGCAGCATCCACGCTGTGAGGTGGAGGAAGGAGAGGTTGGGGTGCAGGAGGTGACTGTGGTCTTGCAAAAGAAGGTCCAGGAGGTCGCCCCGGGTGGGGGGGGGGAATGGAGGGGAGCTACTGCCAGATCCAACAGTGTGCCGAATTAATGCTGGTGTGGCCATGCTGGTGTGATCATAATGACTCGAGCCTTGTCCCTCTTGATTTTTGACAGGACTCTGCTGACAAGTGGGATGGGCAGGAATGCATACATCAGGACCCCCGACCAGGATAGGAGAAAGGTGCCTGGGAAAGCAAGGCCAAGGCCCTGCAGGGAGCAAAACTGATGACATTTCTTGTTCTGTCTGGTGGTGAACAGGTCCCACTTAGGGAGTTCCCCACCTCTGGAAGAGCATCTGGACCACTTCTGAGTGGAGCGACCCCTTGTGGTGAGAAAAAGACCTGCTGAGGCGATCTGCCAGCATGTTCCTGATGCTGGGAAGCTGATAGGCATCTAGGTGGACTGCATGCGGGATGCAGAAATGCCATGGGTGGAGTGCCTCTTAACAGGGTTTCAGAGTGGTAGCCATGTTAGTCTGCATCAGCAAAAACAACAAGGAGTCGTTGTGGCATCTTAGAGACTAACAAATTCATTTGGGCATAACCTTTCATGGGCTAGAACCCACTTCATTGGATGCATGGAGAGAAAATACAGGAGCAGATATAAATACATGAGGGGTTGCTTTACCAAGTGTGCCGTCAGTCTAACAAGATAAATCAATTAACAGCAGGATATCAAGGGAGGAAAAATAACTTTTGAAGTGTTAAGAGCGTGGTCCATTACAGACAGTTGACAAGAAGGTGTGAGTAACAGTAGGGAGAAATTAGTATTGCGGAAGTTAAGTTTAGGTTTTGTAATGACCCAACCACTCCCAGTCTCTAGTCAGGCCTAATCTGATGGCATCCAGTTTGCAAAGTAATTCCAGTTCTGCAGCTTCACGCTGGAGTCGGTTTTTGAAGTTTTTTTGTTGAAGAATTGCCACTTTTAGGTCTGTTATTGAGTGACCAGAGAGATTGAAGTGTTCTCCTACTGTTTTTTGAATGTTATGATTCCTGATATCAGATTTGTATCCATTTATTCTTTTGCGTAGAGACTGTCCAGTTTGGCCAATGTACATGGTAGAGGGGCATTGCTGGCACATGATGGCATATATCACATTGGTAGATGTGCAGGTGAATGAGCCCTTGATGGTGTGGCTGATGTGGTTAGCTCCTACAATGGTGTCCCTTGAATAGATATGTGGACAGAGTTGGCACCAGGGTTTATAGCAGGGTTTGGTTCCTGGGTTGGTGTTTTTGTTGTGTGGTGTGTAGTTGCTGGTAAGTATTTGCTTCAGGTTGGGAGGCTGTCTGTAAGCGAGGTCTGGCCTGTTTCCCAAGGTCTGTGAGAGTGAGGGATCATCCTTCAGGATAGGTTGCAGATCCTTGATCATGCGCTGGAGAAGTTTTAGTTGGGGGCTGTAGGTGACGGCTAGTGGCGTTCTGTTACTTTCTTTGTTGGGCCTGTCCTGTAGTAGGTGACTTCTGGGTATTCTTCTGTCTCTGTAACTCTGTTTCTTCACTTCACCAGGTAGGTATTGCAGTTTTAAGAACGCTTGATAGAGATTCTGTAGGTGTTTGTCTCTGTCTGAGGGATCGGAGCAACTGAGGTTGTATCTTAGAGCTTGGCTATAGACAATGGATCGTATGATGTGGTCTGGATGAAAGCCAGAGGCATGTAGGTAAGTATAGCAGTCAGTAGGTTTCTGGTATAGGGTGGTGTTTATGTGACCATCGCTTATTAGCAATGTAGTGTCTAGGAAGCGAACCTCTTGTGTGGACTGGTCCAGGCTGAGGGTGACGGTAGTATGGAAATTGCTGAAATCTTGGTGGAATTCCTCAAGGGCCTCCTTCCCGTGGGTCCAGATGATGAAGATGTCATCAGTGTAGTAGAGTACGGGCAAGTAGAGTAGGGGTGAGTTAGACTGACCTCACACTTGGTAACGCAACCCCCCCATGTATTTATATCTGCTCCTGTATTTTCACTCCATGTATCCGATGAAGTGGGTTCTAGCCCACGAAAGCTTATGCCCAAATGAATTTGTTAGTCTCTAAAGTGCCACAAGGACTTCTTGTTGTTTTTGCCTCTTAACAGAGGGCAGATGAGCATGCTCCCCCTTGCCTGTTGATGTAAAACATCAAGGCCGTATTTTCCATCAGCACTTAAACCATTCAGCCGGTTAACTGCGGGAGAAAAACCCCGCAGGCTAGGCGAACCGCCCTGAGTTCTTTGACATTTATATGCAACATCATCGCCTCTGTGGACCATGTACCTTGCGTCTGCATTGCGCCGAGGTGTGCGGCATCCGATATCAGCGACACCGAAGGATGCGGGCTATTGAACGGGATCCATCGAGGACCATTCTGGGGTTAGTCCACCGTTGCAACATGGTGAGTACCTCTGGTGGGATGGTGGTAACCTTATCCAGGTGATCCCTGGACAGGGCATAGACCATAGCCAGCCATTGCTGGAGGGGCTGCATCCGGAGCATCGCATGGCGGACGACATACGGGCATGTCGCCATGTGGCCCAGCAGCCATAGGCAGACCCTGGCAGTCATGAGAGGGAACGCAGAGACTCCAGCGACGAGGTCTCTCATCATCTGGAACCTGTCGTCTGGCAGAAACGCCTTTGCCCTGGTGGAGTTGAGGACTGCCCGGATAAACGCTATTCTTTCTACAGGGACTAATGTTGATTTTTCCTTGTTTATCAACAGGCCCAGTCTCCTGCATGTGTTCAGCAGTATCACGACCGTGTCCTGGACCTGGGACCAGGAGTGACACTTGACCAGCCAATTGTTGAGGTACAGGTAGATCAGGATACCCCGACACCTGGGTAAGCCAAGTCTTTCAGCCTGTTTAGCTTATCGTCTGTTTTCTCCCCAAACAGAGCTTGACCATCAAAGGGGAGGTCCTAGATGGACTGTTGGACCTCCATCGACAAGCCCGAGGATGGCAGCCATGCCGCCCTCTTCATCGTTATGGCTGAAGCCATGGTTCACGTTGCAGAATCAGCTGCATCCGAGGCTGCCTGCAGTGCCGCCGTTGACACTCCCTGCCCCTCTACCAGGATGGCCTGGGACTCTTCTCTGTGGTTCTCCAGGAAGGAATAGGCAAATTTGGCCATCAATTGCCAAATATTGAAATCATAGCAGCCCAATAGGGCCTGATGATTCACCACCCTCAGCTGCAGACTTGACGACAAATAAACCTTTTCTCCCAAAAAGGTCCAATTTCTTTACCTCTTTATTTTTGTGAGTAGCCCGCAGTTGTTCCAGGTTCTCCTGCTCGTTGACTGCAGACACTACTAACGAGTTTGGGGAAGGGTGGGTATAAGGATATTCATGCCCTCTTGCAGGCACATAGTACTTTCACTCCGCATGCTTGGAAATAGGGGGTAGCGATGAGTGAGTCTGCCAGAGGGCCTTGGTAATTTTTGCCACCCCTTCACGTACTGGCAGGGTGACTCTAGCTGAGGCTTCTGAGCTGAGGAAGTTGCATAGGGTGTCCGAGGGCTCCTCTAGCCCCTCTGTCTCTAGCCCCTCTGTCTCTAGCCCCATGTTCGAGACTACTCTCCTCAAAAGCTCCTGATGAGCTTTGGTGTCATCCGGGGGGACGGTAGGTGGGGGTCCCATGATGGCCTCATCGGGGATGAGAAAGTGAATGCAGATACAGCAGGAGTCACTGCCTCCGTGCCCTGCTTGGCATGGCCTTCTTCTCCTGTCTGTTGCACCTGGGAGGGTCCCATGCCCGGGGGCCTCCATCTCAGGTGGGCAGGAGACTGTGGCAGAGGGTGTCGGAGACTCCCGACACTGACTTATGCTCTTGTGGTGGCTGTGTGAACCCCCCCGGGTTCCAATGGTGCCATGGCATGGGCCATTGATCTTGGGGCAACAATAGTGCTGGCGGTGCCAATGGAGGACCTTGCCCTGCCTGCAGGGGTTCTTAGTCCGACTCCGAGCCAGGGATGGAGGGCCATGTTCTGGAGACTGGGACCACAACAACGCCGACCAGGCCTCTCAGTCCTGGCTGCATACACTGCCACGCTCCGAGTGGGATCTGTACATGGGTGACAATGCGCTGCGTTGAGATCCCGGTGACCGGCGTCAGCGTTCAGAGGATCCACAATGATACCCCGGTGATCCATGCCGAATGCTTCCCGACTGGTGCCGGTCCACAGAGCGGGAGCAAGAACGTGACTGACGCCGCGATGACGAGAGTTGACGCTGGTATGGTGACCTCTGACTATAGGCCAGTGACCAGTACTGAGAGTCCCGATGGAGGCTTCCACTGGAGTGGCGTCGATACGAAGGCGAGCGACGCTCCTGGTACCGGGGATGAACGTGCCTCAGTAGGTCAGCATCAGGCGCCAGAGGTATGATGTATACAGCCCGCAGAGCGATGGCCGGAGTCCAGAGACTGGCGCCAAGGGCTCCAATTGGTAGGTACCCCTACGTCCAAGGTGTGGTGGCTCTGCACAGGCGAGCACTGGTGGGACACTCCCTGAGGTGGCGAGTGGTGCCACACTGACGGGGATCGAGATGGTGGTCCAAAGGCAAGCTTACCCCTTGATTTGGGAGCTGTCATCACCTTTGTGGGCAGCACCGGCAGGGACAAGATATCCTGCGCCACCTGCAGGGCCTCCGGGGTGGACAGCATTGCCAGGTGCTGGACTCCCATGCCACTGTCCAGAGTGGCCGGCGCATCCCGGGATAGGCTAATCTGCACAACTGAAGCCGGGGCTTGACTCCCACTTGGAGGCGATGAGCTGCCCTTCATGGGTCTAGGCTTGCCTCCTGCCTTCTCCTTGCCCTTGCAAGCAAGCGACCGACCTCTCCTGGTCTTCCTCTTTTTACTGGGCGGTGCCAGGGAGGTGGATTGCCGTCTGACAACAGTACCTACAGGGTGCTCCATACAGACAGCATGGTACTGATCTCGGCTGTTCCCGTGTTGGTGTCAGTGCTGACTCCATAAGGAGTACGTCCAATAGAAAGGTTTGCAACGAACAGTTCTACAGAAGAAAAGGTTTGCTGAAGCAAAGGAACGTTCCAGCACAGTCACTGGTGGGAAGAAGGCACTGAGGGCGGGAGGAGACAGTGGTGCCCCTTATACTGTGGCAAACACGTGCCATTCCAGGGGGTGCCAGAGCTGGTCCCCTACAGATACCAGTGAGGGGAAAAACTTCCGGCACCAGTGCATGTGACGAGTACACACACCTAATATGGAATGAACATGAACAAGCACTCCGAGAAGAAACTGGCATTTCAGATTAGTCTTGCACATTATTTTCTTATCAACTCCCTTGTTAGTATGAGTACTACAATAGATAGCATATGTTTGAAATAATATTGTCCTTACTCAGCTGGAAAGGCACAAAGGAACTTACTGACTTATATGTAAAATTAGTCAGTTAAAAAACAGTGTCCCAGCCAGCCTGGTGGATACCACGCACAGAATGACCAGTTTAATCTGAAACAATCTTCTCATCCTCTGCGATGCCGGCAGCAAGACAAGGCCAGACACTTATGAGAGAGGAGAACGTGTTGCATCAACACAGCTTTCTGATCGACAGGGTGACAATCGAGAATTTTTGTACCAACTCCCTGATTGAACAATTCCATTGTAGAGGGCACCTGCTTGTGAAAGGCAGGCACAACTCCCAATGGAAGGGCATTGATGATCCATACTGGGCAGAAACAATCTCTGAATGGCTGTGAAAAATATCTGGTGAGAAACAGCAGTGTATGATGAAAGCCTAGAGATTCCCTAGACCATGAGTCTGTTATTGACAAGAAAGGGGGACTTAGACCTGAAATCATGTGGGAGGAAGAAGGGACATGGAAAAAAAGACAGAAAATGAACTAAAGCAGTCTCCTTAGTCCTACCTTAATAATCTTGTCTGTCCCGGAAGTCAATAACCATCCCCTGGTTGCGTCAAAGTGTACATGGACAATGTTGTGCTTACTGTCATGGAAAGTGGCTGTGGGTGCACGTCTAAAGAAGATCAAAGATCAAGAGTCAAGGAGACAGCGTCTGCACTATTGTCCTGAACTATTCACAAAGGAAGAAATGAGAATTTGAACACTAATGTAAGGAACTGATTTTCTTCAGTGACTCAACTTAATTACTGAGCGAGAGAAGATGGCTTCATGGTCTCTCTATGGCTATGTCTACACAGCACACCACTAGTGGTGGCATGTAGCTACACGCCGCAGTGAAAGGTGGGCTGCTCCCATGCTGTGGTGTGAAGCTACATGTGTCAGTGAAAGGCTCTGGCAGAGCTGCTGCTGCGGCGACTGGAGCCTTTCCTTGCTACCAGAGTCTTCCATGTGATAGGGAAGCAGCGGGATGCTACGCTGCTGGTTTTAGTGGTGTAGAGGGGGCAGGCACTGCTTGGGAGTGTAGAGAGCTGTGGAGGGCACATACCCACAGGGTTCAGGGGTCTTTACTCATCTAAGCAGTGCCTCCCCATCTACACTGCTATTTATACCTTGCTAGGGATGTGTGCAGTGTATGTACTCTGCATGCCACCATAAGGACCATGCAGTACAGACACAGCCTATGAAGGATTGTAGTTCCCTGGAATTACAGGTTTTCCTTCAGAGATACAAAAATCTCCCAACACTCCATTTCTGGGAGCATCCCCAGATATAAGACAGATGTGTACCACAAGTCCTGGTATTCCAAACAGCAGGACACTGCATCAAGTTACACACAAGAAAGAGAAATTAGATTTAAAAGAATCTCTCAAGAGCCGTTTTTGCTGCTCTTTCCTAAACCCCTCCTCCAAAAAGGCGACATCCAATTTATTTGAGCATGAGCTTTCGTGAGCTACAGCTCACTTCATCAGATGTTTACCGTCTGATGAAGTGAGCTGTAGCTCACGAAAGCTCATGCTCAAATAAATTGGTTAGTCTCTAAGGTGCCACAAGTACTCCTTTTCTTTTGCGAATACAGACTAACACGGCTGTTCCTCTGATCCCTCCAAACTGTCTCTCTTTCTAGTAATGAGGTATGCAGAACTGAACACAGCAAATGAAGCACAAGAACACTATAGTCATATAAAGGAGGATACTAATTCCCAGCTCTACACATAGCTATGGAGGCTGATGGCCTGACCTCTTAAAGGAGAAAGCACTTTGCACAGCTCTGTGACACTCCCATCTGGTTGACTCTGAGCAGAGTGCAGTACAGGGGAGTACACCTTGAGGAGTTCTGTAACTCATTAAGCCTCCTCTGAGGCAACTGGGCTCATTGTTTAGACTTACTCCTCATCCGTTATCGATTCATGACAGGTATCGCAGACTCTCACTTCAAACTCAAATCCCATCAGAGGTATGGAGGAGCGCTTAGAGCTGCATTTGCCACACACTGCTTTCCCACACTTCCGGCAGTGATGCTGAAAGAGGCAAGCCGAAAAAGGATTGGTTAGAATGGACAAAGCAAAGCACAGCAGTGATCTCCTCTTAACTTCACCCATTCGCCTCAGCAGAACTTACCTGGGGCCAAAGCAAATTCTCTGAACCCCCAATCGGGGCAGAAGGAGAAAAAGCTGAATAGTAGGAAAAAACTAGTCTCAATTTTGCATTTCATTACCTTTCACTAACAACTACATCAGCTAAGCACCTGGCGTAAGCCAACTATCGATGGCCAAATGGGGGCAGTGTGGCCTAGTTGACAGAGCACCGAAATGGGACTAGAGAGCTGGGTTCTGGTCCCGCCTCTGCCTCCGGCCTGCTGGGTGACCTTGGCCAAATCGCTTCCTCTATACCCATTTCACAGACGGGGAAGTGAGGCACAGGGATTCTGACCTTTTTAGAGCACTTTGAGAGTGGTGGATGAAAAGAGCTACATAAGAGCTAGTTATATTATTATGTGGTGAATTTCGATCACAGCTATTTTACTTACTTTAGTCTGTATCACTAGCTAGACTAAACATCTTTGGGGAACCATTTCTCAGCCTGGTGTTTTGACCAGGCAAAAATCTTCTGACTGGATATTCTCTTTTGTGCGTGGGGTGCAGGGGGAAAAGAGTATTCTCATTAGTGTGTGGGCGAATCAATGCATGCAAGGCACATCAGTGTTACGAGAATTGCCTGTGTATCATTAGGAGACTACTATCTTTTTATCAGTATTATACAATTACTTTCAGGACACTGGGCAAATCCTTCTGCCTCTTCAAATATGATCTCAGATACGAACACACATGCAAATATACATTCCTGACAGGCAGCTCAATGTGGTCCCTTTTGCCACTTTTTCAGTCTCAACAAAAGGAGCAGCAATACTTCACGCAAAGCAAACCAGAGTAGGATCTCACACACTGAGCTGGGCTCTGGGATCATACATTAGGATTATAGGGGACAGCGAGTTTCCCCTCCCTGCTGGCTTTGTAATACTGGAACGCTGCATTGGTTACTGTTGGAGCGCCAGATTACATCTCAGTATTAAACTGAATGCCTGACATTGCCCATGTAAACACTGTCCATCTAAAATCAAGTGAGCAGATTCTCCTCAGCTTTTTTACAATCCTTTCTAATAAAACAGGCCTGGAAACGCCTTTGGCAATTTTCAGAGTAACAGCCGTGTTAGTCTGTATTTGCAAAAAGAAAAGGAGTACTTGTGGCACCTTAGAGACTAACCAATTTATTTGAGCATAAGCTTTCGTGAGCTACGAAAGCTTATGCTCAAATAAATTGGTTAGTCTCTAAGGTGCCACACGTACTCCTTTTCTTTTTGCCTTTGGCAATGTGACAATTGCTACCTAACACTGTCCATTTTTCTCACACTGCAAACTGTAGACCAGTTTTGCTAATAACTCTGGGCAGTTGGAATAGCAATTATGGACATTTGCCTCGGAATGGAAAGCAATGACCTTTTTAGTCGACTATTATACTGGTTCCATCAGTATCTTCAGAAGTGAGATTTGGGCCACGTTTGTTTGTACAGAATATTCTTGTTGATATTAAATGAGATTAATGTGGCTAAACCCACATGCAACTCAAAATTTACGCAAGCCAATGTACAATATGTATTTTCTATAGAAATGGATTGCAAAAAGTGCTTCTGTTTGTGAGGGCCAAGATATTCACCCATCACCAGGCCTTTGCCTGCCCATTCCCCCTCTTTTGGCATGAGGGTAGCTAAATGCCTTTAATCACCAAGCAGCCAACAGAAAAGTTAAACAAGTTTCTATATATCTGAAAAGTGTTAAAATATGTCATTGAACTACCAGATACAGTGTTCTCTTAAATTATTCCATCAATACAAAACAGAACAAACCTGTCTAAGGCCTATTTTCTTACTGTCCCACATCTGTTTAAAATTCCAGAAGAAAGGCTGGTCACACTTTTGACAGGAATCACTGTCCAACCACTCTGGTGTCTGTAACACACAAAAGGGTTATGATAAATAGGCAGAAAAGCTTCAGGTAGGAATTCAACAGCAGAACAAGCCGTGTGGCTTCTACTGCAATAATTAAAACAGCGGTATGCTGAACCTGTCTAGAAAAACACTTTTTCAGCCGAAGGTGCACTGGGGAAAAAAAAAAAAAAAAAATGGAAGTGTGCCCCAAGATGTATTTTGCTGTGTTCTGAAAGTTCACACAGGAGGAACGTTTCACACCATAAAGTAGGACTCTATTCTGAAAAAAAGGCCAACATTTGACAAAAACATGGATGCTTAAAGTCAGATGCCTGAAATGAATGGTGTGATCCTGAGTACTCACAACTAGCTCCACTGAAAGTTGCAGGTACTTGGCACTCCTGAGACTCAGACCAGGGCTCCTGAAACTCTCCCTGGACCCACTTGTGGGTGGTCAGCACTACTTAGAACCAGGTCATTTATTTTTAGGTGCCTAAACATCCAACGTTTGAAAATGTTGCTCAATCTTTTTGATTGTAATTGGTTTTTCTGAACCTCCTGCCGTCAGACTGTTGTGTTTCAAGTCACACGTGTGGGGGTGGCAGGCAGATCCTGAACAAGCCTGAACAAAAAGAAAGTTGGCTCTATCCTACTTTTACATTTATATACTAAAGTTAGCATTTATTTCTAAAATCTTGTATTTTCTAATGCAGTTTGATCTAATGCTATGCTCATCATGCTGTGAGTGAAGTGGGTAAGAATTACTCCTGGGGGAATTCTGCGTCACTGCGCAAGGCAGAATTTTGTCGAGATTAATGTTGTGTGCGCAGAACACTTTCCCCACCACAGAAATGGGCTGCAGAAATGTTGGCGACCACTAGTGGCGACTGGACCTGGCAGAGTTCAGCTCGCAAACAGAAGACAAGGCCAGGGGGAGGGGGAGGGAACTGGAAGGTTCCCCCCAGGTGCCATTCCCAGCATGCCCTGAAGGAAGGAGACAGTGTGCAGGAAACTCAGTGCAACCCCAGGACCCAGCGTCAGGCTGTTTCTCCCTCTGGATCCCTGGGCTCTAGGAGGGTAGGGGGTGTGATTGTCTGGGCCGAAGAGCCCCCCGCATGGGCTCTGTGTGGGAGGGGGTAGAGAAACAAGAACATAGGGGTTTCTTTAACTCTATTCCTGGGGGATTTTTGTGTATGTCTGTATTGTTATAGACAGAGTTGCTGACAGGTATTTTGAAAAAATTACAAAAATAATTGTAACCGGCATGATTATGTAGTGTTATTTTGACAAATATAATTGGCAGAATTTTTAATTTTTTGGTGCAAAATTCCCCCAGGAGAAACCTCAGTAAAGACTATCCTCAATAGACTGTCACCCTCACCCAAGCCCCAGCGTGAGGAGTGATGATGAGGACTCAATTCTCTACTGGGAGAGGAAGTCTGGTAAACTAATGCTTCCCTGGACCCCGTTTTGCTATCATGCCCCCTGCTGGCAGAAGACAACAGGGAAACAACTAAGTGATAGCAGCTGTATTAGCAGGGGCCTGAGCTCTTCAGGAGCGCTCCCACCTCCCTGACACTGGTTTGTCTTTGGGAAGCAGGGGCACTCCTCTCCAATATGCAGCTTCCCCCCTCATGTTTCCCTCTCTCTATCCTTTAACTTTCTCCTGCCTCCCCACCAGTAGAGCCCCTCCTTGAAGCTGCTGCTGCCTGCTGCATTCTCGCATCCACCCTCACCCTCACCTTTTGCAAGGTTGCTCTAATATAAAAACACTTCACACCCATTCCTGACTATTGGGTGTAGAAGAGGACTGTTTAAAAGACTGCCTCATTAAGTACAAACCCCAACTAACTGGAACGGTTTCAGAAGATGCACTAGCTGCTTGGGTATCAAACATTAAGGAATGAAAAGCACAATACTGTGGTTAAATAAGGTTAGATTATGATGGAGTTTCTTAAAAGGAAAAAGGTAAGGGAAGGCTGATGAAATCCTTAAACTCAAGCCTTCACTCCAGCCCCCTATGATGGAACGAGTCGTAAAGAAACTGAACTGCAGCTTGTTTTGTTAGGTTATTTCAAAAGTGCAGGTGCTTTAGGGGTAAGTCCCCACTGTCTACTTTTCTAAAAGTAGCCAAGCCTTTAATTAGGTGTGTGTTCTGAGAAAATAAGGTTTTCCTCTCCTATGCACTGAAGCACAACATTTGAAAAAGGTAGATATTGCTTGTGACAGTAACTGCTCAGTAGTAAAATGGATACAACTTATATTCTCTTTCAAATGTTCCTTTCTTATGGCCTTTTAAGACTGAAAGATAAAATCATTTATAAGGATTAAAATATGAAATGGCTTAATTCCTCCTCCCTTGTGCAATTCCAGAGACATGGTAAAGTGTTAATATCAAAGTGAATACTACACACATCAAGTGGAAAATCTAATCAGTGAAAAATGCCACCAAAGCAACAACCAGAAAATTTCAAGAAAAAAAGCACTTCAGAAAAGAGCCCAAGGCAAAATATTTTATACTAAAATCTTAAGGATTAGTGTTTTGGAGTCAATGTAGCAATATATATACACTCCCTCCTGACAACAAAAACGAGCCAATATAGACATATCTATTAACACCTGATGCTAAACACTCATTTAGCTAATTATATTTCTTACCCACTTTTCAACCAACTCTCTCACAATAAAGCAGTTTGTTTTATAACAAAGCGCTTTTCATTTTAAACCTTTGTCGTTGCCTTGTAAAACATTAAGTAACATATTATTTCTGGATGTTAAAGTTATACCAAAAGGGAAAGGGCAGTGAGTTACCTGGGACTGGAGTCTCTTTGAGATGTGTGGTCCCTATCTGCATTCCACACATGGGATATGCATGTGCACCATGCGCCCGAGTAGTTTTTTTTGCAAGCAGTGTCCATTGGCCTCCTCATGCTCTGAGCCACAGGCACAAAGGGTGGTACAGGCTGACATTTCTCCAGTTTTCCATTCTTACCACAGTTCAATCAGTCAATCGGCTACAGAGGGAACGGAGGATGGGTAGCAAATACAGATAGGGACCACACATGAAGAACCTCCAGTTATAGGTAGGTAACCTCTTTCTTCTTCAAGTGATGGTCCCTTTGTATATTCCACATATGGTAGAACAACAAATAATAGTCAGACAGGCAGTGGGTGCAAAAGTTATAGCTGACAGTAGTACAGCAATCTCAGGTGTCATTAGTAACGAGAGTAGTGAAAAAAAAATCCCACAGAAGTGAGGTTTTTATGTGGGTTGTGTCCCTTTCAAGTGTAGTTCCACTCTACAGAATGACTAAAAATGCCATCATGTAACTCAGAACTGCCCATTGCAGGCATTCAGTCACATAGAATCATAGACTTTAAGGTCACAAGGGACCATTGTAATCGTCTAGTCTGACTTCCTGCACAACGCAGGCCACAGAATCTCACCCACCCACTCCTGCAAAAAACCTCTCACCTATGTCTGAGCTACTGAAGTCCTCAAATCGTAGTTTAAAGACTTCAAGGAGCAGAGAATCCTCCAGCAAGTGACCCATGCCCCATGCTGCAGAGGAAGGGGGAAAAACCCCAGGGTCTCTGCCAATCTGCCCTGGAGGAAAATTCCTTCCTGACCCCAATATGGCAATCAGCTAAACCCTGAGCATGTGGGCAAGACTCACCAGCCAGACACCCAGGAAAGAATTCTTTGTAGTAACTTAGATCCACCCCATCTAAAATCCCATTGCAGGCCATTGGACATATCTACCGCTAATAGTTGAAGATCAAGATGACCTTACTTCAGTGACTAAGGCCTTGTTTATACTCCAGAAATAGGCCAATTCAGCAGTTAAGTGTAGTTACACCCCATATGGTAGACAAGGACAAACTGAAGTTTGTAATGATTGATTTATTCGGAGTTTACCCCAGTTACAAGGAAGTACAAAACATGAGCTCAGTGAGTGCAAACCCTGCATGCCCTTGTCTACTCCTAAGGGTCAGCACTGTTACAGCTACAGAGACTACAAAACTGAGGCTGCTCTCAAGCCTACATAAAGCACAGAGTAAGGTTTTACTACTTTTTATGTTGTTAGCCATAGAGAGCCAATACGTTATGAGTGTGCAAGGAGGATTCTATTCTCTTATGCATCAAAGTAATTGTTTATTAATTGCCAATCAGTTACACCTGTCCAAAACTATTAGCAGTAGTGAGATTACACATTTGTAACCCAGGGCCTAGTTTAGTGATTTTTGGCAAAGGTAGGGAAAAAAACCCAACTCAAATGGCAATTTGAGTTTCCAGAACCACCTGTTTAAAAATCAAACATCCATCCTTTTACTTGTAAACTGACAGCCCTGGAAACTAACTGAGATTTGATTCACTAGGGTTTCCTCCCCCACCCCCATCATTGCTAAAACATTACATTAGGCCTTTGGTGTAATCCCACTACCACTAAGTTTTGCACAAGTGTAACTGACTGAAATTTAAACAATCATTTTGATGCATAAGAGAACAAAAATCCTATTTGCACACTTGTAACTAAATCCTATGGAGTCACTGAAAAACACAAGCAGAACACATCACGATGCCTTCTTCAGAGAGTCACTTTTCAGAGCACTCAGAGCACAAAATTTTTAGTAACATACATAAAACACAAACTCCCTGCTACATAACTACCCTGAACCACTAGATCACACACAAAGCCATACATCTTCACATGTATAACTGGAGCATTCCTAAAACACTAGTTTATTTTCTAACCTTTAAAAAGATACCAATCAGATTCAAAATTACATGCTTTAGAAAGGCCCCAGATTCTTAGAGGTTGAGCAAGAGATAGATATCTACCTCCTGTCTCTCAACATCCATATTCCAGATAACAATTCCACCATCTGCGCCACAAGAGATGAGCTGTCTTGTGTGGGGAGCATAGGAGACACACTGAACTTTATCGCTGCAAAAGAAACATACATCAGTTAGTCAAAGGTTTAAAGATATGACCCAAGGCAAAGTAAACTAGTTTGCCATATTTTCTCTCTCAGCTCATTCATGTATAAAATTCACTAGTCCTACAATTCCAATTAGTAGATTATATATTATGTACTGTGCTGTCAATTTGGTCCCCATTGGGTAGTGCACCACTTATTAGAGGAGGATTTAAAACAAGATTAGTTTCCAGACATAACTATTGCTTTTCCAGTTAATTAGGTTGGAGATCTTAGCTTCCCTGAAAGCCATGGTTGCATTGTAATTGAATGACCTCTGAGAACATAGTCCCAAATACCTATAAGCACTATGGTAAAGTGCTCGCTCTCTCTCAGAACAAATGTGTCAGTTATTGGTTAATTTGTTAAATCCCCACACAGTGCCTGTGAACGAAGCAATGAAAAACCCAGCATTATCTGGCAACTTGAAGAGAAAAATACTTCCTAAGGTGCTGCTGTGAGCATTCGAATCTAACACTAACAAATGAAAAGAATTTCAAATAGAACAGAACTGATAAGGCTGCTGCCCCAGATCTTCCCAACATTTTAAGATTAAAGGTTTTTAGAAAAATGGACTATTCCTCCTTTTATTATTCTTTGTCAAGCATGAAAAAAGTGTGCTCAGCTCTATAGAAGAGAGAAATATCAAGGCCCAGAAAACTTACTGTCTAGGAGACAGGCACAGAAAGAAGACACTGATAACAAGGGGGAAGGAATTACTTGAGCTCACTTTGTTTTCTTGCACTGGTCTGGAGGGCGTGGGCGGGGGGGGCTCCAGAAGAAATGGATCTTCAAGATGGGGGTGGTTTAGCACACTGACATTAGGTCAGAATCTTCACCCCACACTTTGGCACCAGCACTGCTTGACACCAAGCCAGGCTCACACTGAGAAGTGCTTTAATACAGGTCCCTTATCTTGTATATGGATGCTCCTCTATGTAGCAATGCTTTTAGAAGGCAATTTAGAACAGCGCCACACTACTGCATATCTATAACTTACCAATTCAAAGGCAGCACTGTGTGGAAATGCTATCTTTACTGTGGTTCTATCTAATGCAATGCATTACATCACTGAACCAGCACGTTCTCCAACACTGTCATATTGCAAATAAGATACAGAGGTTTGCCTGCGTGTTAGATGCTGTGACGCTACAACAATAAGCCACAGCAGGGCACGCAGCAGTTGGCTTTAATATAAATAGGCATAATGACTGAGTGTTTCAGTGAGGAAGTCCCAGGCACGCACTGCTGGAGTGGTACAGAACCACGAAATCAAAGTAGCCCAACCAGCCAAGCAGAAAGTGCCTTTGAACAGTCAGTCTGCACAGTCACAGTAATTCAATGGTAGGAAAAGCAAGCATGTGTGAAATTAGTCTTTAATATTGTGTTAGACCACAAATACCAAGTCATCCTCTCCTCTCTGGGTCTATTAAGTCTGGTTCGTACCTCTAGCATATTCCCCTTTACAATAGCAGGAGCCAGTTCTGCCTTGCTCAGTTGCTGATGCTTAGGAACGCGCATTTAACACGTTGACAAATGATGGCTAATTAGACAGAGCACCTTGGGTACAGCATGGATTCTACATACATTCACATTAAAAAAATACTTGGTTAGCATGGAGTTAAAGAGGCTGGTACTCTGAATCCTGTGTTCCCTCAAGGGGGGAAGATAGAACCCTATGGGGCAAACAACCTTTCATTAAACGTAGTTAATATTGGTAATATACAAAGATACAGGGAGTCTCACATAAATCCCATGCATAGACATAAGAATATACTCCTTGGTTCTGCTTCCAAGTGTGGCTCCTGAATTTTGTTTTTCTCCCCTAAACACAGGAGAAGGAAAAACTCTTCAAACATACTTGTGTCCTTGTAATTCAATGGCTGTTCCTTTTCTTCCTCCTATGTCCCACATAATAATGGAATGATCTGAACTGCCTGAGAACAAAACTCGCTGCACTGGGTCCCAACAAAGTGCGGTGACACCACCTAAAACAGGAGAAAGACAGTACAGTTATTTAATTACAACTGAAAGTGGAAGGAAAGAATGTAATAAAAAGTGAGTCTCACCAATTTAAAGAGATGTGACTTAAGTTTAAACACGTCCAACACATCCTGCACGTGCACCTCCACACTGCAGAACTTCCCAGCTGAAAGGTCTGGCACAGAATGAGCCCCACTGAAAAGCCCAGGAAACCAGAGCCAAATTCTAATCCTGTGTTTCTGTTGGTGCAGAGCCCAGTCCCAGCTCTGTAGCTCGTGCAGGCTGAGCCCAATGAATAGTAAACAAGTCCTGGGATACGAAGTCACCTCATGAGTGGTCAAAGAGCTGCTGTGTGGCCACCCATCTCCACACCCTGCAGGCAGAGTTTGTGATTAACAGTGGAGACACTGGGGAGTAATGAGAGGCGATGCCACCACAAAAATTGCAGCATGAGAACTGAGCAGCCTTGCCTCAAAGCTAATAAATCTGAGGGTTGTCAAAACACTTCCCACACCCTCCACACCAGCTGACTGGTTTGAAGTGGACTGGTAGGCCAATATGGAGGTCCACTGAGGCCAAAGAATGGCCATAGGGGAAAAAGAAATTGATCAATCAAGAATGGGCTATCAACCCCGCTCTCCATAGGCACCTGTTATATGGTGGGCTAACACACCAACCACAAGGACAATGCTTTTAAGTGTTTTGTAAGAGAGCCCCAAGAGCAAAGTGACCAGTCAACTCCTGCAATGTGTACTGTACTTTTAAACATCGACTCATTACATGCTTCTTGTCACATCCTGGAAACACTGCGCATAGCGTTCTAAACCTTAAGCAGTTCAATTGACTACAAATGGGAATCCTCACATGCATGTGTTAGCAGGATCAGGACTTTATCTACTAAGGTCTTCCTCTATCAGGGCTTTAGTTGTTGCAGCACTTTCCCACCAAAGTACTTTAATTAAGGTGCAGAATTTTCACCATTTAAGTCTGGCTTCTCTCCTGTTTTTAGTAATACAGGATTACCACCCTTTACCTGTTGACAGTTTAAGCTCATCTACTGTGCTCCCCAAAATACAGACATTTCAATTCAAACCATCACAGCTGCTTACAAATTTCAAAAAGTTCATCCCATGGTAATGCAGAGCCTATATGAAGAACCAGAGAGGATTATTTAACCTTAAACTTTACCTGTATGTCCCTTAAATGTTGTGACAAGGCTGCAGTTCTCTTGCTCCAGTTTGAGAATCGTTACCTGCCCAGAATGATCACCTATAAACACATGTCGGGTCTCAACATCAAATCTGATTGAAAGCATTGAGGAATCTTTTATAAAGCCTAGACAGAGGTTCTGAATTCTAGGATGTATCTATAAGACTATGTTGCATTTTTATGAAGTTACATAGCAGTTACTTGATTTTTTGTTTAAATAGACACATCAGTTACCTCTAGGAAGAGGACTCCTCCCTCCTTCTAAAATGGTTTTAAGTAGGTGACAGTGGCTGTTCTTTGAGAGACCTGCTTTGTGTCTTATGACATATTTGGGGAATTGCCAGTTTGAACAGGTGCATCCTGAAGTGTGGTCTAAACATGGCGAGATTACAATCAATTACTGGAATAATCCGTTTTGACAGGTTATAGCCCCTCAATCTAATTTTAGCTGCACTTCAGATATTTGAGGAATGGGTTATTAGCATTGACAGGCTGCGTTGCACGAATGTCTTTTGTAATCAAAGGGTACATTCACACAGCAAAAAACCCATAACAATGAGTCTCAGAGCCAGGTACAGACTTGGGCTTGTGCTACGGTGCTAAAAATAGCTGACAGACGTTCCTGCTCGGGTTGGAGCTCGGTCTCTGAAGCCTGGGAAGGGGGTTGAATTTCAGACCTGAACACCAGCCCAAGCAGGAATGTCTACATGGCTATTGTTAGCACCGCAATGCAAACCCTACAAATGTGCGTCTATAGACCCAGGCTCTGAGTCTCTCTCTGCTGTCGGGTGTTTTTTTTCTGCAATGTAGACATACCTAAAGAACTACGTACTCTGAATTCAAGAGGCACAGCAGACAACAGAGTCTGGAATTAACAGGGTAAAGGGGTTGTTAGTGCTACCAGCCTATTACTTATATTTGTTGGTGTTAATACAAACAGAGGAGCGGCCGTTCTGACATGATCTAAGGGTCCAGTTCAAATGGCATCCAAGCTGTGGGAAGAGTTCCCAGACCCCCAAAGGGAACCATCCAGCAGAAAGGACAACAAGATCCTGTGTTAATCGACACTTAACACTAATGAGGGCAAATATTTTAGAAGTGGAATTTATTCTTCACTGTTTACACTTTTTTTGCATTTCACTCAGCCTGGACAGGGCAAAAAGGCTGGTCAATTTCACTTATTTGTACAGAAATTGGTTTCAAGTCAATTTGATCTTTAGGTTTTCATGAACTAGTAAAAGGAGCAGTTACTGCGCTGTAGACACTATCAGAGTACAGTTTCACTAACAACTGACTGAAATCTCCTTTGTGTTAGTCTTTCTAAAAGACAGTTTTTAAACTTACAATGTATCACTGATAAAAGGAGAGAGTCGACATTTCTTTTGTCAGGCAGAGAGGGGCAGATCTTGGAGAATTAACCTGTTTGAGAATAACATTTTAGGAATCATTTACTCTCCAGCTGAGCCCACATTTCAAAAGCATACTGTTCTGTTCCAAGGTAGAGGATGTGTGCTCATTATTTCATATTAGGTCATTTAATTTTTGCCATGCGTGTGCACAAACACACACACACGGACCTGATCACTGACCTACTTTGCTGCTATTATAATTCCCAAAAGAAAAAGCGTGTTTTAAAGGAAGCTCCCATCAATCTCTATTTTACTAAGGAGACCACAATAGGATGTAGCTTTTAAGAATGAATAGGCCATGGAGTTTTTAAAAATAAATGTTTAAATCTAAATATACCTCATGTATAAAGAGGACAAAGCTATGAGGGCTGACAATTTTTAACTGAGTTTTAAAAATTATTTCCTTATAAGGTTTTGAATGTAGATGGGTAAGATGATGGAGGCCTGAAAATGGCTGTTTTAAACAAAGATGTACCAAAGACAAAAGAATCAGAGAAAAGCTAAGGTGTTAACAAAGGATACTGCAGGCCGCAGGCCCCCGCGCTGGTGCGATACCCTCCGAGCCGCTGCCCACTCTCCGAGCAGTGCCATGTGAATTGCTTGTCCTGTCCCGTGCTTAACACCCATTCCATCTCCAGGACAAACAGAATCATTATAACCCTGCCTTGGTGAGCTGGAAAATCAAGCAGAAAAACAACAACACACACATATAACATTGAAGAGAGTCACTCATCTGCTATCCAAAAAAATCCATGAACATTAATCCCATCCCACCAAACCAATTCTAGGATCCAATCCTGCAAGCCTTTATTCACACCTGTAAGCCTAACTGATGTCCTAACAGGATTGGCCATGTGACTAACTACATATGTAACGGCCCAATCTTGCCAGCCTTATGTCTGTATGATACAGTAGAACCTCAGAGCTATGAACACCAGAGTTACAAACTGACCAGTCAACCACACACCTCATTTGGAACTGGAAGTATGCAATCAGGCAGCAGCAGACACTCCCTCCCCAAAGTAAATGCAGTACTGTGTTAAATATAATCTACTAAAAAATAAAGGGAAAGCAGCATTTTTCTTCTTAGTAAAGTTTTAAAGCTGTATTTAGTCAATGTTCAGTTGTAAACAGTGTAACATTTTAGAAATGTTCAGAGTTATGAACAGGGCCATCCCTAGCCATTTTGGTGCCCTACACAACCCCCCAGGCCTCCGTGGGGGGAGGGAACTGGGGAGAAGGGGGGAAACCGCGCCCCAGCACTTGCTGGCGGAGTGGAGCAGGCTGGGGCCGGGTCGCTCTACTTACCGCCAGTGAGTGCAGGCCTGACACCTGCTGCAGTCCTCAGGGGAGTGGGGTCGGGGCTGGGGCGGAGCAGTACGCAGCTGCGCAGCGTAGCAGGAAATGTGGTGCCCCAAATTTCCTGGTGCCCTACGCAGCTGCGTACTTTGCGCATGGGTAGGGATGGCCCTGGTTATGAACATTTCAGAGTTACGAACAACCTCCATTCCTGAGGTGTTCATAACTCTGTGGTTCTACTGTAATATACTTTTGCTCACACTTGCATTGTTCAGGAAAAATCCCATCATTGTAGTATCACCACTGGGAATGCTAGCATGGGCAGGGCTCTAGGCTGGGATTTTTAGACCTACTGAGCAGGCTTAGATAACTTAGTGGTACAAATGCCCATGCCCTGTCTACACTCCCACCATTACTATCACTGGTGGGACTGCACAGGTGGAAGTGCAATTACAGGTTTTCTGAAGATTTAGCGTAGACACAGCCTTAAACTAAAGAAGAGTTTTAGCACTGTGCACACACTGTTGGAATCCTGGTCACAGATGACAAATCAGAGTCAGTTTGTTTCAGTGCATCTCCTTGTGCGAATGGAAACCGATGAGGGATCTGCAAATGAGTCTGCAAATGAGTCTGCACGCCAGGCAGATGTGGCTGCATGTTTTTGCCACAGCCTGCTTTCTTTACTCCCACCTATCTTTGTCGTTTTCTGTTCTGCTGTTCTCCATGGCTTTAATGGCAGACCAATAGGCCTGCTGCCATCGGCAGCAGCAGTTTCCTCTGCATTTGTGTTGACTTGGTCAGCCTTTAGGTCAGCTTTGAGACTGTGCTTTTTCACTTTCACTGGCCTCCTAGCACATGTGCTCCCGTTTTCAAGTGTCCATAAAACATGGCTTTGGGGAGTCATATCATCCAGGCACACGAGGTGACCAGACCAGCCAAGTAGCCCCTCTATGATCACAGATTTAATGCTAGTCATGCAGGGGCACCTTTGGTATGCTGTCCGACCACTTGATGTTACAGGTGAGATGGAAACAGTACACATGAAAACTGCGCACACATATGACACAGGAAAATTATTGAAACAGGATGTTGAAAAATGTGCTATATAAAGATCACAGCTGGTCAGTATCAATAAAACAGCTGAACAAATAGATTTGTACTCCTACATAAATAAAACCCTCAAGAGCTTTTAACGTAAGAAACAGAGCTCAACCTATCATTGATTCTTTAAATCAGTGACCTCTGGGCTGAACTGTGAAGTGCTGATTTAAGTAAAAAAAAAGTGGTTTGAAAAAAAAACTTACAGATGTATTCCCAGCTGTATCATAACAGTGAATGCCATATTCCTCAATACACAAACCTACTGGTTTACTACAGTTCTAGGACCTTGAGACATACATCAGGCAAAGCAGGCTGCTTGTATCAGTTTATGTGAAAGTTGACACTGGACAGAGATCAAATATCTTTACAGCTGTTTTCTAAACAGATTTTTTTTTTTTTTAAAAAAAGCAAAATTACTCAGAACACAATCCTCTAATAAAGACTGGCAGATTTTTGTTGTTGCATACACTACACAAATATATGCATACTGTCTGTTGAATCCTATGGAGGGATTAGTTCTAGTCAAGGGTGTAAAATGTGTGTAAACATCTGTCACTAGATTCCCCACTTTTCAAGATCAGGTTCCTCATGGCCTGGTAACACAATTAACACATGTGGCTCTAACAGTGGCCTCCAAACTTCTGTAGCAAATGGGCTAAAACTTAAGCTGTACCAGGAACATGTCCCATCCAGCTGCATTTGCTCCAACCTGCAATAGAGTTTGGACCGCTCCTATTTCTATAGGCTTCCAAACCCATCTTGTAACCATGGAAGTGGGACTGAGAGCACATAAGACTGACTGAATTTTTTTTTTAAGGCAATACACTCTGTACTTAATTGGTCAGAAGTGCCAGCCTTCATCTATTGATCTCACTGAGATACAGAGAGTGGTCCCCCTCTGGTAAGCCTGCTGCAATGGGTGGGGGAAATATGAGAATTTCCCTTGCATCAGTTACACTGCATCATACTGCAGCATTCTCACGCAATGGTAGTACTGAACACTAATTCAGCAATAGCAAGAAATCTGTATGTACACATTAGTGTATGTGAACGTAGACACATGTATGGGCATTGAGAAAGGTGGTAGGGTAGCAGGACAAGGAAGATTTCAGCTCACTATTCATCTCCCCAACCAATGAATTTCATTTAGGCTCTGATCCTGCAGCCTCCAAAGCATCCATGTAAGCTTATTGTCCCATTGCAGTCAATGAGACATTTTTAATCTAAATCAACTAAGGCATGTGTGTAAGTGGATCAGGGCCTTAACAGCACATTAGTCAGAAGATATGACGCAGTACAAGATTTTTTATAATTAACACCAATCCAGAGTCTTAAGATATGCACATACATCTTACTTTGATTCTATTTGTGTACAGTACACATTAACATAAACCTACTTATATTTTCTTGCTTGATGTTATAACACACAGAGAGCTTAAGTGAAAGCGATCTGAAGTAAGACTTTTAAAGCACAAAAGTGTGTTTCATCTTCATTCTTGAAGATCCAGATTCTTTTTAAGCTTTCAGGGTTATGTAACAAAGTGACCCCCAAAGCATCATCTCTTGAAGGAATGATGGTCTTATTTTTAACCTTTCTAAACACAGAACTTTGAAATAATTCACATTCATCTTTTGAACACTAACAGCGTTAAGGGTTTCTATGTGGAAACACCATACTTATACCATGCAGTATAGCATTACCTACATGTCAAAGGAAGAGATACAAGAAAAAAAAAGACTACACAATAGTCATCCGTTGACATTGAATTTATAATGAATACTGGTATAAAACACTTTTATGACTTAACAAACAAGAGTAAGGACAGCTAGGTCTTTTTGAAGAGCCCATTAGTGAACATTACAATGCTATTAGGTGGAAGGTATGGATTAATATTGCTTGATCTTGGATTAAGATATGGATACTTCAAAATGTAATGAGAGACTGGTCTCTAAATATATGTGGGCATTTAAGATAAAAGGGGACAGGATTTTTAGATCACTTCATTAGATATGCTGGACTGCCCAAGATTCAGATAGAAAGACTGGATTTTAAAGAATTTGTCCAGGGGAAAAAAAACACCAACACATTTCTGACTAAAACATTTTAAACAAGTCATTGTTTTTTTCACTCCTGTAACCTCAGCATAAACACAGTATAGTATCAATCCAATGACAAACCAAGGTTTTATATTAGTAAATCAAGAATTATAGGAAATAACACTTTCTTCCTTTCTACGGCAAAAGAGAAAAAGGTTTGTTTTTTTGAAAAACCAATTGATGACATTAACAAACGTAAAATATAACTCTGCTAACGAAGACTGATTGCATTTCTTACCCTGGTAACTTTTCACTGGTGTCATCTTGTTGTAATCTTCTGATAAAATAAACTCCTTTAAAAATAAAATAATGTTTAGAAATGTGAAATATTTGCAAATAAGTCTGTTCTCTATTTTAATTTACATAAAATGAAAAATTTCTACCAAGTTCAAATTCAACACTAGCTTTATTATATGTATTTTGTTGTCCAATACAAATAAATGGTTTCCTTTAAAATAAGTAACTGACTAGTAAATTTGACTACTAGCAGAGTATTTCACCTTTGCAATCTGCCCAATAAGTGATTTCACAATAGTGACTTTGAATGAAATGGAGGTGGAAAAACTGGCAACCAAAAAATTTAAAAGCAAGCTGGCCCAAGTTAATGATTTAGCTATTAGCCAACAACATGCATGCCAGGGAATGGGAGACCTGGAATCAAGTGCATCCCAAGTACTTTAGCTTCTCAAGCCGACTGGGGCTTCAATTCAATGTGTGTCTCTGTATACTACTGCCCTCTCCTGGTTAAAAATAGGTCAGAGCCCAGGTACCTCTAATTCAATTTAGAGATGCAACAGCCCTTGTCCAAACCCTTACCAGTGATAGATTATTCCTCATTGTGTTCCATCTAGTTTTAAATCTCAACAGATCTGTGTGTTGGGAAGTTTTCATAGATATTAAGGCCATATTTCCTTCTGCTTAATTTCATACCACTGGTGATTCTATATCCCATTTTACCATCCTTAAACTCAATATTTCTCCTTCTTTGGTGTTTACATGAGGCTGTGAACAGTTAAATCTGTGTACATGTGGGATGCCATGGATTATTACAAGCTCTCTCTCAGTGGGAAAGGAGGAGTGGTTTGGATCCTCAGTCTCAAGCACTTGTTTTGCCAGTTGCAGGAGCATTCGTATCAGAGGAGGTTGTCAGCCTCTCAATGCTGCTCAGGTTTGTGCTGATTTTAAAAAGCAGCAGCAGCAGCTACATTAACAGTTTAAAAACTATTTATGAAAATATCAGCATTCAAGAAAACCCGAGGAACAGTCTCCAGCCTTTGGAACACAGAGCAGCAAACCCCACGCACGTTACTATTTACAGGGAGCACCAGTGTCCTTCGTCTGCTTGCGTTTTGAGAAAGAACAGATCAAAATATGGGAAACTAACTGACCTCAATGAAAAGAATCAGATAGAAGTCTTGTGATACTGGATTGCAGTGGTCTAATACCCAGATCTCAGAGTTTGTGCTTTGTGGTAGGATCACATGAATTCATTCTCAGATTGAAGGTGGGCACAGACACTAAAAAAGTGACTTATAATGGACTAGACAAAAAACAAGTGAAGGTGACACGTTCAGGCAGTATGGCATAACTTTGGGGCTGAAGCTCATTGAGTCCTTTCATGGGGAATACTGTAGGTGCATGAAATGGGTACAGGCTTAGTCAACACCCATGAGCAAGTGAAAGAAAGCTAAAAGTTCACAAGACAGCAAGTGTTGAGAGACTTCATGAGAAAAAAAAGTGTAACAGTGACAATGGGGGGAAAATCATCCTTATTGTGACTCCAGTGAAAGGGGAGAGGATCATAGAGATTGAAATAGGTGAAGGTAGCACAGAGTAAGGGGGAAAATGAGACTATAAGTAAAAATGTTTAAAATAAATGAAGTTTTAAAAGCTACAGAGTATTGGGGTATCCAATTTGCAAGAACTGCCAAAACAATGAATGGTAGGCTAGTGCTACAATCTTATTTGTAAAGCAAAGTATATTGTATATAAAAATAATAAAAGCCATTTTTTGACTAGAGACTTGCTTGTTATTTAAAAAAAGCCAATGTTTCCCAATAGCTTCTAAATTTCACAGAATAACCAGGGTAATCTCAGATCTCACTGTGAAGCAGCTGTAGGTCTATGTTAACTCTTTAAAATGGTGGCCACTTTAATCCAAAATCAGCCTACAGTAAAATGCCTCTCAGACAACCATTTCACCATAGTAAAAGAACAATCTTCCTCTAAAAGAGGCCATTATACCAAGGCACTGGATATGATCTACTAAAATTGAGGTCAGACTAATGAATATTACAGCCTGTCAGTCAAAGGTTACAAACACATTAACACATTAGCCATGCCATCAGGGGCTTGTTCACCTGCACATCTACAAATGTGATATATGCCACCATGTGCCAGCAATGCCCCTCTGCCATGTACATTGGCCAAACCGGATAGTCTCTAGACAAAAGAATAAATGGACACAAATCTGACATCAGGAATCATAACATTCAAAATCTGGTAGGAGAACATTTCAACCTCTCTGGCCTTTAAGTAACAGACTTAAAGGTGGCAATTTTGCAACAGAAAAGCTTCAAAAACTGACTCCAACGAGAAACTACTGAGCTTGAATTAATATGCAAACTAGATACCATTAACTTGGGTTTGAATAGAGACTGGGAGTGGCTGGGTCATTACACATATTGAATCTATTTCCCCATATTAAGTATCCTCACACCTTCTTGTGAACTGTCTAAATGGGCCATCTTTATTATCACTACAAAAGTTTTTTTCTCCTGCTGATAATAGCTCATCTTAATTAATTAGCCTCTTACTCCATCTTTTCATGTTCTCTGTATGTGTATATTATATATATATATTTTGACACACACACACACACACACCTTCTTACTATATGTTCCATTCTATGCATCCGATGAAATGGGCTGTAGCCCACGAAAGCTTATGCTCAAATAAATTGGTTAGTCTCTAAGGTGCCACAAGTACTCCTGTTCTTTTTGCAGATACAGACTAACATGGCTGCGACTCTGAAACATGACCATACTAATCACTAGTCTTCAGTGAAAGACTTTTCAAATGCTTTTGTAACAAAGTATTATGGCGTTCTGGTATAGGGAATACTATGGTCACTGTCTAGCAAAGGTGAAAACGGACTAAGGATTACCAATGTATTGATTACCTAGTTATGCTTTAATACTAGCAAATATCCATCCATTGTGTAATACAGAGATATAAAATAGACAAACTATCATTATACACAAACTTTAACCCCCTTTTCCTTTCTTAAAAACAGGAGGTGCAATGTATAAGAAGGTTCCATTAACCTGAACACAATCCATAGTATTTATCTTTGTGTTTCACCCATCTTTTCTTCCTTTCCATACAAAATCCACAGCTACATCTCATTCTTGCTTTGTATTCTCCTTTATACATTCTTGGGTGTTTCCCCAACTTTTTTTTTTTTTTAATTTTCTGCTTCCCTTCTGACTTTTGACCATTGTTTTCTTTTACTGCATTTTCATTCCCCTATCCTTGTCAAAAATGATTGAATTGGTTGCTCCAATGGACAGGTATTTTAATATAGAGTGCCCTGCTCACAAAATTCATGCCTACTGCACCTATATGTTTTGTTTAGTCTCCACTTTGAGAACACTGGATTTCATTTTTAAAAACTCTACAAAGGTAAATGTTCATTTTTCTAACCCTATATTAGTTTGCTATTTTCATGGAATATGGTTCTATTGTAAAAGCAACTGATTTCCAGTTGTTGTTAGGCAACTTTCTGGCTTCGTCCATCATAAAGATAGAGGTCACCCACAAAGTTCAGAACACATCTGCCACAAACTGTAAGGGTTATTTCCTCAGTCCTTTCCCCAGGAATTGAAATTTGTCATAAATATAAAGGGAAGGGTAAACCCCTTTGAAATCCCTCCTGGCCAGGGGAAAGCTCCTCTCACCTGTAAAGGGTTAAGAAGCTAAAGGTAACCTCGCTGGCACCTGACCAAAATGACCAATGAGGAGACACGATACTTTCAAAAGCTGGGAGGAGGGAGAGAAACAAAGGGTCTGTGTGTCTGTCTATATGCTGGTCTTTGTCGGGGATAGACCAGGAATGGAGTCTTAGAACTTTTAGTAAGTAATCTAGCTAGGTATGTGTTAGATTATGATTTCTTTAAATGGCTGAGAAAAGCATTGTGCTGAATAGAATAACTATTTCTGTCTGTGTATCTTTTTTGTAACTTAAGGTTTTGCCTAGAGGGGTTCTCTATGTTTTTGAATCTAATTACCCTGTAAGATATCTACCATCCTGATTTTACAGGGGGGATTTCTTTATTTCTATTTACTTCTATTTTTTATTAAAAGTCTTCTTGTAAAAAACTGAATGCTTTTTCATTGTTCTCAGATCCAAGGGTTTGGGTTTGTGGTCACCTATGCAAATTGGTGAGGCTTTTTATCCAACATTTCCCAGGAAAGGGGGGGTGCAAGTGTTGGGAGGATTGTTCATTGTTCTTAAGATCCAAGGGTCTGGGTCTGTAGTCACCTAGGCAAATTGGTGAGGCTTTTTACCAAACCTTGTCCAGGAAGTGGGGTGCAGGGTTTTGGGAAGTATTTTGGGGGGAAAGATGCGTCCAAACAGCTCTTCCCCAGTAACCAGTATTAGTTTGGTGGTGGTAGCGGCCAGTCCAAGGACAACGGGGGGAATATTTTGTACCTTGGGGAAGTTTTGACCTAAGCTGGTAAAGATAAGCTTAGGAGGTTTTTTCATGCAGGTCCCCACATCTGTACCCTAGAGTTCAGAGTGGGGGAGGAACCTTGACAAAATTAGAAGAGGTGTTTGAATTTACAGGGGGGGGTTGGAAAACAACTAAATTGGCAACACTTAGTTGACCACTCGAGGTGCATGTGTGTTTAGGGAAATGCATCTGGATCGGACCTATCACTACTTAAATCGGAGGCGGATACATTTGACAAAGATGGACCCCAAGATAGCTGGTTGTTGCTCTTCTGTGGCTAGCAACAATGGGTTGTAAACAAAAAGCTGTTTGTTTGTTTGTTTAAATAGAGTTCTTCCACATCTACTTACAATTCTGAATGCCCACATTGGTTACACATACTGCCTATCAGGATGGAAGTTGCTGCTATAAACAAATTTTTGGTTGGCAAGGTAATTGGGCTCTTCAGAAGTCTGATAGACTCTTCTTACCTACACTGTTTGCTTCAAACATCAGTCTGATTTGGTTTTAGATACAGAATGATAAAAATGTAGGGCTGGAAGGGACCCTGAGAAGTCATTAACTCCAGCCTCCTGCGCTCAGGGAGGACTATGTACCCCTAGACTATCCCTGATAGATGTTTGCCCAATCTGTTCTTAAAAGCTTCCAATGATGGGGAGTCCACAAACTCCCTTGGAAGACTGTTCCAGTGCTGAATCCACTACAAAAGCCTTCATGAACTGGGGAGAAGAATCTTGAGTAGGCAAGAATGATTTTGTCTTATTTGGTGCAGTATAGGCATCAGCATTGCCACAGATAGACCTCTGAATAGAAGTTGAGATAGAGAGGCCAATATTTTCCCTCAAAATTTTAATTAAAGTAACATCCTTTGTGAATTTCATTTTAATCTTTTCCCATCTGAAAATCTTGAATTTGGCCACATAGGCATCCTAATAGTACTCTCCTGACATCCGATGAGCAGATTCAGAATCTACTATCCTCACACATTATTTATTTTAGCTACCAACAGAGTGTTCAGTGTTGTAGAAGAGGCAGAAAAAATGGACTTCGGCTCAAGGATCTCATAATCCCACTTGACAGACGATACAGTTTGGACACAGATATCCAGAGGTAGGTTCCATCTTAGACTCTTATTTAAAAGGGTGGCTGACCGCATTTTTATTGGAGTGGGTTAGTTAGTACATTCCCCCAGGGGTAAACAGATTGGCTTCAGGATTAGAAAAGGATGAAGGCTCTTTAAAAGATAACTGTAATTGCATAGTCAACAGTAAGGTTTGTTTATCCCCCAAGGGACATTATGAAAGATGATCAAAGTGGTTTCTTTTTCTTAAACCGGAAAATATTGCTCAGGATTAAGGATATTAAGGATTAAAATATTTCAGAAAATGCAGAAAGTTGGGGCTGCTGCACAGAGTTTGGATTTGAAGTAGGATTTTCATTCTGGATTTAAAACAGTCTCCTTGATCTAGTTTGCATAGTAGAATTCGCAGGGCATATTCTAGAAACAAAATAAAGTTTAAGATCTCAAGTTTTGAAGTATCGTATTCTGTACAGAATACGAATCAACAGGGTAGGAGGGTGACGTAAACTACGATTTAATCTTCTTGCCTCTAGAGGAAAGAGATATTCTAACTGCCACAATCTGGGTGAGCAAGCCATCATCAGTTATTCAGTTACAGACATTGAAAGTGCTTCATACGACTAAGTCTCTAAATATCTAGCAGGAGCAAATGATAGAAGATGTTAAGATAAATTCTTCCTGATGGTAAAGAGTCATTGTTCTGAATGGGGTGTTTGATGGGATCTTTTCCTTGAGGCCCAACTGAGGGCTTGCCGTCCACACAAATGCCGAGTTTGCATCAAGCTGGAGTGTAAGTCTGCCATATATTAGCCTGCCATGCATTAGGTGCTCATGAAGACAAGCCCTGAGTTCATGCAAGATCTTTGCTTGCATACAAGAACAGTAGGAGAATAAGTTATAGTGTATAAATGTCCTTACCATTAAGGGAGGCAGAGCTTTTAAGATACCTTTATAAAAAAGGAGGTTTCTTCTTCACAGCCACTTGCGTGGGAGACTGGCATCTCCTTCAAAGCTTAATTCTCCTTCATGTTGGAGCAGAAAGTTTGCTTTTGGAGGGAAGAGTCCCTTAGCTTCTAAGGGACCTGAAATAGACCTAAAGATTTGGAGTGAGCAATGGAATGAGAAGTACTCTTCAAAAACAGCTTTCCCCACTTCAGGCCAAGATTTGGGGAAGGGGTTGCAAAATGGGAGTACAAGAAGAAAATACAACATGATTTTGTTTTAAGTGCCACCATTTCCTAAGGAAGTATGCAATCTAGCAGTGATTAAAATCAATCATTGTGACTCATAATCTGTCATCTTGTCTAAAGGTTCTGCTTATAAATTTAAACTTCCAAGCTGACAAGTTATAAAGGCTGAAAATAACCACTTGTGTCACTTCTAGGAGCGAAAGGAGGGAAGTTTATCATCCACTTCGTTTTACTCCATGACAAATGGGCGAACGATTCTAATTAACTTTTGGCTAGAGGTTAAGTTAAATGGAAACATAACAGTAATTCATCTCAGCCACCAGTCTTCCAGCTCTTTTTCACCAGCTCTGGTGGAACATCTGTCCCTCTACTGATTTTGACAGTAATGCAGCCTCTCTATATACAAACACCCTCCTTCTTACAATACACTACCCCATTCACCAAAATGCCAGACATATTACTGGAATCAGTCTCATTTTGAAAGTGCACGTAGAGAGAGTATTTTAACACATTTCCTTTATTTCTGAAAGTAGCATTTTTTCCCTGCCCTGTACTGAAATAGTCTGGACTTTGAGTCAAAAGTTGGTTATCTTGGAATATTTCCCAGAAATTTTGTTCTATATTTTAGAACATTTTAGAATTATTTTAGAACATAACTGCTAATGGTTCAGAAAGCAGCCATCAGATATTCCTCTGAATGCCTGACTAATTCAGATGTTGGGGGAATATTACAAAACATCTGTATGCTATCTGATTTTTGCTGTTGCTGCTAGTAGAACATGCTGGTACTGGCAGAGCATTTAAAGGGCCAACACAAGGAAAAAATAGCCTGAAAGAATAGAACGTGTGTGTAGATGTAGCCCTATACCAACAAACCTAATAAAATACAATCTCTTAGATTAAAAACAGCATATTTTTTCTCAATTTACTTTCTTTAGAATAAACAACATGTGTCCTCCTAGAGGATCCAAGTGCGCTGTCAATTATTTAGAATTACAAACTCAAAACACAGTTCAATCAACCCCCCCTTTCACACACTCTGGAGCAAAAATACCAACACTCCATTATGCTGGTCAGCATATTAACCCCGTCCCTCTTCTCAAAGGCCAGGTGAAACAAGTGCAGTGTGTGCTGAAAGACGACAAATGCAAACTAGATCAGACTGGAGGGAACGCTTCCCTGAAGCCCTTACAGAGAACACTCCTCATTCTGTATTAGATTAATGAGGATTTAGCATCTGCACTTCTGCTGACTGCAGCTGTAGCAGAATATAATGGGGAGATGCAGTCTCAGGCAGGCGTTCCCAGGTCATTTCAGGCTTCATAATGCAAAGCCAGCACCTTAAAACCTACCAGAGAGCTCACAGGTAACCAGGGCAGGTCCCAAAGCACGGGGGCCCTGTGCTCTCTATAGGACACCATGCTTACCAAGAAGGTGGGCTAACTTTGGCACTCGTTCCAGCTTCCAAATCAATGTTAAGATATGGCCCCCTGTAAAGCACATGGCAAAGGTCTGACCGTGAAATGTCAAAGCTACAGATAACTGTACCAGGATTCTCATTTGAAAGAATGACAGAATGCCTCTGACCACCACTGCCACCTGAGCCCCTAAAAACAGTTTTTAGTCTCGTCAGACCCCCAAGTAACAGTTTCCATAATAATTACAATCCAGTGGCAATAGTGGGACCCCTCTGATCCACATGGCGGATCTCTGCTTCAATATTCTGAACTCTTTACATGCATGAATACATATCTCAGAAGTTACTGAAGGAGAATGGACCCGTTCACACTGCTGTAAATCAGAACGGACTCCATGGAAGGAAGCTGTCTCTCACAAAGGAGAATTATACCTGTATGACATTGTATTAACAAGAGGGTAACCAGGACCAGTCTTTGTACAGTGCTCTGAAACAGTGCTATACATTCCATATAAAGAGCTAGCTGTATGAGTTGAGATGCATCATATGGATCTGAGAGTAACTTTACGCTCATTTGCTGTGTTCAGAGACCAATTTAGACAAGTGATTAATAATTTGATCAAAGTTGGTAAATTAAAAACTTGTTATTGGACAAGTAAACCCATACAATTTGTTTAGTTCCCTAATTCCTCTAAACCCAACTCAAGTTTATATAGCAGCTAGTTTGAAATTTGTCATGGGTCTTCTGTTTTCTGCACTAGAGCGGTCAGTGTCATTAGTAGCTAGGATCAATGTTAGTCTGTCATTTAGCCAATGCTAATTAAAATTCCTCAGCACAATAATATATACATACTTCTCAAAAGGGAAGTATTTCAATGGGAAATCTTATTTATATGTACTTACTGAGATTGAACCATTGTCTAGACCTACGGACAGCCTTCTTGTTTCCGGGTTAAAAGACATGCATGAACATGGAGCTGAAAAAAATGAACATGTTGATGAAGTTAACAAAACCATGATTCTCATTGATCTTGAAGCTCTGGAGTCCCTATCTAGTTAACACACTTACGATGCTATTCTTTATTTTACCCCTTATGATAGAAAAGCATAAACATACTCTTCCTGCAACGCTATTCAATAAACCCTGTTACATCAGGAAATAAATGAGTAGACATATAACTACTCCTTACTTCATGATCCACTTCCCCCCCCCCCAATTAAATTATTTAAACAGAAAATGCTATACAAGAGCAGTTGTGGGGTCACCGACCCCTCAAAGAATATTAAAGACATTTCAGTTTTAAAAAGTTTTTGTGGATTTAACAGAATGATTGAAGTTAATTTTCTACATTTTCTGATCTTCAGCTATAAAGTAAGAAATTATTTCTAAGGTTTACATCCCATCAGTTTAAATTCTTGAAGTAGGAAACTCCTATGGACTGAAATGTCATTGAGTTTCAACAAAATTAAAGACTGATAGTCCATAATGGAACTACAGTTGTCAAGCATCTCTATTATAAATAGATTATATCGTAACCAATGACTAAAAAGTATGATAAAAATATTCCATCTAATACCCTAGAAACACATTATCCTAGACAACTACCACACTACAAATTTTCAGGATATACTCTTGCAACTTGCTTTTGAAAAAATTTCTTAGGCTCTTTTGAGAATCTGGTGATGTTAACATGTTGGTGTAGAGTCAGAATTTTCTATTAAGAATTAGGGTTCTATTTGCTCGTGGTTTATAAACCGCCTTTTTAATCCAATTTAGGTGTGTAGTGATAGTTTTGGTTTTTTGTCTCTTAATACTGTAGCTGAAGTTTCAATCAAGTTTCTGCAGGACAAATTCGACATTACAACTGGCAATTTTAGCAGAGGGGCCAGGAATTCTTGCTCCTTCTGATTTTTACCATTAATTTTATATTGATCACAGGAATAAATAACTAAATATTTTTAGTACTGCTTTTCACTGGATTTTCCTGTTCTGTTTTTTTGTAGCCCTCCCCCTGACCCCTAACTAGGTGTGTGCACTTGTTTCTATAACTAGTGAATACCCTATATATTTGCAACTTGTTTTCTCAACTGTTTTAAACACACACTCTAGACTGGTATCAAAACATTCATCAATCCAGTGGATCCTCCATGTTCTTTATTTCGTGGCATAATCAAATGAAGAAAAGACAATACAAAAAAGTTTGTGTTGGACATTTAACTGAAATTGCACCACCATATGGAGTTTAGAATTGTATTGATTTATTTACTGAGGGGAGAATACAGAATAATTTATGGCAACAGAAACTCAAAGAGCACAGACAGACAGTCAATCAAGTAGACTGAGAGTGGCTCTGATTACTTGTTTTTTCACTTTATTTTTTGGAATGTCTAACCTGATGTTCAACGAACAAAGAAAAAAGGCTTCAGTTAAAAAAGGAAGCTGTCACAATGAAAAGTATTTTGTCGGTGCTACTAACACCACCAGAGATTATCAAAGTGAAACTGGTAAATAGAAAAGTTTACTTTTCATCATTTTGCCATTTACTTAGTGGATTTAAAGCAATTTCAAAGCAGTGAAACGAAACTGGTCAGTTTCACCTTCTGTTAAGAGGTCATTTCAACTACTGATGCATTGGCACAATGCTGTTATGTCTGGATTTCTAACACTGCAGGGCAGTGTTTAAGGCAAATGATTATTCTTTTAAAGAAACTTCATGAAAACATTTGTATCATACCAGATTATATAAAATCCTTAATACCACTCTCACCCTACAGTTTAGGTCCAGTGCTAGCTACGGTCTAATCTAAATAACTTCTACTACCTTTGCAAATACCATTAACAGTTCACAGAAAATCAGATTTTGACAAATCATTGTTTTTTCAAGTCATGCTTTTTCCAAAACACATATAAACAATGTGTCAGTAATGGAGCTGACCAAAAAAAAAAAAAAAAAAAAAACTTTTGGGTATAAATATTCAAAAGCACTTAAACAACATAGGCCTAGTATAACTATTTCTATTCATACCACCCATAGTGTAAATGCACCTGATTCCCCTTTCTCATATAAAGCACCTTTTTACTGGCTTATTTACATTCACCCTAGGGGGTTGAACTGCTTTAATTGTACCAGTATAGTTAAAGTGATCTAGCCGGCCCCTTCCCCGAAGCCCTCCCCTTTCCCTAAAGCCCCGCCCACTCACTCCATCCCTTCCTCCCCGTTGCTCGCTCTTGCTCACCCTCACTTGCTTTCACCAGGCTGGGATAGGAGCTTGGGGTTCGGGGGGGGGTGTGTGGGATCTGGGCTGGGGCCAAGGGGTTCACAGTGTGGGAGGGGGCTCTGGACTAAGCCTGGGGCAGACAGTTGGGGTGTAGGAGGCGTGAGGGGTGAAAGCTCCAGGAGGGAGTAGGGGGTTGGGGTGCAGGAGCGGATTTGGGGTGCTGGCTCCAGGAGGGGCTCAGGGTTGGGGTTTGGGGTGCGGGCTCCCGCTGGGCAGCACTTACCTCAGGTGACTCCCAGTTGGCAGCTCAGTGGGGCTAAGGCGGGCTCCCTGCTTGCCCTGGCCCCACGCCGCTCCCGGAAGTGGCCAATGGGAGCTGTGCGGACAGTGCTTGCAAGCAGGAGCAGCACACAAAGAACCCTGCTCCCATAGGGGCGTGCTGGCTGCTTCCACGAGTGACGCGGGGCCAGGGCAGGCAGGGAGCCTGCCTTAGCTGCACTGTGCCGCAGGACTTTTAACGGCCAGAGATCGCGATCGACTGGCAGAGGTTCCAGGATCGACCAGTCGATTGTGATCTATGGTTTGGCGACCACTGCTTTACATAATTATTATCCCTAGGATAATAATATGGATTCAACCAATACGGATTTTATTTAAAAGTGATCATTTTTCTACCTAATGCATATCCTCATTTACAACGTATTTCACTCTCCCCGAGATCACAGTAGTTTGTATTGAAACCATTAAAACTAACATCAGATAGGCAGAGCAGGCTACCTCTTGGTACATAACTGAAACTCCACCCTCCTCTATTACAGTAATAATCCATTCTGCACTCTTAGTATATTTCTCTTTGCTAGACTGTATCCCTTTCATAATCTTAAGGCCATTTACAGGCAAAAGTAAGGTTAAACAGTGCTCAAATGCTTAAGACTAACAAAGCCTTCATGCATGTGCATGAGGAGGATGAGCTGCCTGTAGTTATCTTTTAGAGGCCCATTGTAAGCCTGCTGCTAAGCCAACTAACATGTAGTGAACATGAGAACTATATTAGCTTGTTTTTCAGTCCATCCCTATTAGCCATATAGATCAGTAGTGCTTCTTAAGTCTGCGTTTTCATTGTCTGTTTCCTCTTGTGATGCTAGTGGGATGGCTATGCTTGGGAGCAGGGATTTCAGCACATTCTGGTAGCAAAGAGACATCTTTTCCCACACCTACATCCTTAACCAGTCTTCTTAGACAGTCACCGCTCCAGTGCTGCTTTCTCCTGGCTAGAGAAGCTAAAAAAGAACTGTGTGAAGAACACAGCAATGCCACTCCACACTCAGGTAGCAAGGTCACTTCTGGTGTAAGAGGTGTGTGGGCAGTGGGAGCGACAATCACTCATGTCTCATCCAATAGCTTTCAGAAACAGTGATATAGAAAAGACACAATGTGTCAATTCAGCAGGCAATACCCCACAGCCGTAGGATTATACTTGAACGTACTTAGAAAGAAATGATGGAACAGCATGACTCATATTCAATAGTTCCAAAGTTTTCCAAGATATTGGGTGAGGGGGATGGTGCAAGATGTTCCTTAAAATTGGGGGTGGGGTGAGGCTGACAGGCCAGCTCAGGGCAGAGCAATAGGCCAATTTACTTGTGTGTGATTATCAAAGAAACGTTAAGCGTACTAATTCACTTGAGTGTTAATTTATTTCAAAGGAAATGTGAATGATATGGTCTTCACTTATCAACAATCTGTTGATTGCTGTCGATTTACATTATGTATATCCCTGTACTTAATTAACCGTAGATCAAAAATTTTGAGAGAGTACTTAGATGAGAATTTTCTTGAGGTGTAAACTTCATGAAAACTAATGAAGGATTGTTCCCAGTTATCACATTGCGCTTACATTATGTTTACTCATCATACGAGAATGGAGCATTAGAAATGTAAAATGTCACTAACTTCAAAGCACGTGTCACTGTGTTTATATTTAATCAGTAAAAGAAGAGTTCATGCTGTGAATGAAAACACCTGCCAGATTGCTTTCCCTGGAAAGACGCTACAGGAATGGATTCAGCAACTGAACATGTATCTCTGAACTGTTTTGGATGCTAACAGGGTGGAATACTAAACAAGTGGACAAGGATCCCTAGAATTACTCTGGGTAACCCTGAGGAACTTTTGGAAATTTAGCAGATTACTAAAATGTTAAGAATTGTAGACTTATAAACTTTGACTTACCTGTTAATGCATGTTACCTGCTTTAAACCTCACAATAACTCATTTCTTTTTTTTTTTTTTTAATTATTAAACTAATAAACCTTTAGTTAGGTTTACTACAGAAATTGGCTGCCAGCATTGTCTTTGGTGTGATGTCAAGAGTATCCATTGACCTGGGGTAAGTGACGGACCCTTTGGGGTTGGGAGTCACTTAATGAGATGTGATATTTGGTATAGTGACCAGTATCACAAAGTCCAGCTTGTCTCGGTGGCAAGGTAGGCTGAAGAGCCTAAAAGGACTGTTTGGGACTAAATGGTAAGAGTAACAGATTGATCAGGAGTGCATATTTGTTCCTAGTTTGGTGAAATCTAATTGTAGACTATATCACCAATTTGGCGTATATGCCCTGACAGTCTGACCTGAAATTGGCACTCATAACTGGGAGTCATTTCAGACAGCCTGACATGTGGTGCAGGCGGCAGGATTCACATGCCACAGGTCAATTGGGCTGAAAGATCAGAACAGGGAGACAGAGGAAAATCTACAATTGCCCTGCTCAGAACTGATTTGAGACAGAATTAATGAGATGCCCCAGTGTTTTCTCAGGACACCCACCATTTGCAGACACACAAAACCCAACCCTCTGGATCTACGGGATCTGAGCAGAGGTAACAAAAATCTTAAACACAAATGTATGCAAATATTTAAAGAAATCAATATTAGCCAAAGCAAATGAATGCCATTGCTGGAACAGATGTCCTAGCGGACAGAGCTAGCTAAGGGAACACAACTCCTTAGGTCAGATTAACAGAACTGCAGCTGTTATAAATCAGCATAGCTTCATTGACTTTGATGGAGCTACCTAGTTTTACCCCAGCAGAGTATGTGGCCAGTATGTTGCTCAAAAACATACAGGAATATAAAGACCAGTCAAGCACCGAGATTCCCACGAGCTCACCCATGGACACAGATGGGGGTTAGAAGAAACGGCCTGCCAGGGACACCTGGAATCCTTCTCGAATAGGGTAACTGGGGTGTTTCCCCTGTTGAGCATGTTTTGTTTTGTTTGGAACATGTCAAAAAATATAGCATACTCCTGCTGCAGGATGTCAGTAACCTATCAATACAACAATGCTGTACTAAGACCCCAAGCTTACAAGCCATTACTGGGGAACTAAACACTGAGTAGGTACAATGCATTTCCCAGTAAAGAGATGGGTCTGTCAATCAGCAAGTATTAAAATGTCAACTTAACATGTAAATATTCTCTGGTTGGGAGAGCAAGGCTGAGGGAGGAAGAGAGATGGGAAGAGCGTTACATGTTAATAACTCAGATTCACAGGATAGTTTTGGTTTTCAGTACACTATAAGCAGGGTGGGTTTCCACCCAGCTCTGAATAGAATCCCCACACACTTAGCTCAAACTTACCCTTCTCACCCGTCCCAATGTTTTCTTCTTTATTGGTAACTCATAAGCACAACACAAACCAGCCTCAGCTTAAGCTTTCTCCCTAGGGTTTCCATGCAGAAACCTGCCTTAGATCTTGTACCCTCTCTAAAAATCACTCCCCACTTCTGTTACATCTGTGTGAACTCACTTAAGGAGCCATATCTGCTAAGGAGTAAGCAGCTTGACAGGACTTTAACATGGTGCATCACCAAAGAAGTCATGCCACCCTGTTGTGTACATCATTTATAAACTTCCCCCTACAACTAATGCAACCCTTCTCTAGAAGGTAGCTAAGATTTGCCACGCTGGAGAAGACCACTGGCCTATAGGAACAGTATCCTGCAGTAGCCAATACCAGATTCTTGCCCAGTAAGCATTTTAAAGGTTATAGTGCTATAGGAGAAAGGGGTGAAATCTGAAAGGTTCTTACTTGAGACTCCTCAGTCTTGACTGACCCTTTAATGGCAGAATTTTCGACTGCACTGAGTTTCCTGGCTTTTGGTGATTTGCATTACATTTGTATATAAAAGTGTTCAAGCATTCATTCATCACCAGACTCAGCGATTCTAGTTTCCTCTTGCTGCACTTTCACCTCGCCTCTCCAGTATTCCATTAATGTCCTTCGGGACTTTGTCCTCCATCCTCCACTCTTTTTCCCTTACACACAGATCTTCCCCTCTACTCATGAATTCTCTCCTACTCTTTACTCACCTCCAATAGTCTTTCCAACTTCCATACCTGGATATCGCACCCTCAGTTTGCCCCTCCCTTCTAATGGAGCCAAATTCTGCTAGCCTCCCTCACAGCTCCAGTTCAGAAACTTGGTGTCTCTCACCCTTTTTCTCCTCTTTCCATTGGCAATATCCATTTCTGATCTTCCTCTACATCATTATCTATGGAACCCACACTCTTCTCCATTCTCTACTGCTTAACTCTGACAAATGCCACAATCATCTCCTCCCTTAATTTTTGTAACATTCTCCTCTCTGGCTTCCCTCAACTTCCACCTTCCTGTACCTCCAGGATGTCTAGTTAAAAATAAGCACACCTTTTCCCACTGTTCTGATCAGATCACTGCCTACTTTAAATCCCATTACTGATTTTCCTGATTTCCCCTTAATTACAAGGCTCTGTAAACTCTATTCCTGTCTATAATTCTGTTCACTTCTTTCTACTTTCATTCTTTATTTAGCTCATTGATGGTGGATGGATGTGCTTGACATCTCCGGATGCTGCTGCTGTGACAGAGTGGCCACATCACTTACCCAGCATCTAATTAATTGTTTATGCCATCAGAACCCATACACCAGAAGATTGAGCTCATCTCAAATTGCTATCCAATCCAGTCCCAATGCATTCTCTTCTCCTACTCTCCTCTTTGTATCTTCATTGATGCTACCTCTGGGGATATCCTCCCTCTTCTCACATACCAGACAATCCTCTCTTCTAGACCCTCTCAACAAAAGAGAGACACCACTTCCTCTGCAGAACTCCCTACACCACCTTCAACTCATACTGTTGCATCATGTATCTGAACTAGATTGTCAACTCTTCAGGGGAGGGACTGTGCCTTTTGCTTTTAGAAAGAAATCACTACTACTAGCACTTCAGCTAGTAATAGAAACAAAGAAGAGATGTTTATAAAATATCAAATAATGTATATTACATTTTAAAAAGACAGGAGATTTTGTATTGGTTCATAACTTGGTAAACAAGCTTCAGAGAACCTAGACACTTAGCTCAAGCATAGTATCTAGCGTACAATTGTGAGCTCCCAAAAAGGTCACAAGCTCAGAGGTACATGTCCAGACCCAAAGAAGTCAGTTGGCAAATACACAGTAAACAATGAACATCCCAAAATACTTACATGGCATTGCATGGTATATGCTAGGCCAATACTGCCCACTCTCTCTCTTCAGCCACACACGGATAGTTCTGTAGAGGAAAAATAAGTTATTCATATTAATTTTCAAGTGAGTGCTAATTAGAATTACTAGACAAATAACCTTTGAAACTAAAATATTTTGCCCAGAGAACAAAATACAAGAATCCCTATGATTCCCTGCTAGCCTGCCTCAATCACTAACTGTATCTAGGGATAAGGTGACAGTTAATTCTTTATGCCCATCCCAATCCTTGGTATCTCTGCTGAATGCCCCATAATAACTGAAACTATCTGGCATCTGTGATAGCATTTTTGATGTTGACTTTTGCCAACTAGGAAGTGGACTAAGGCCACAAACACATTTCATATAATCCATCAGACATTTCATTTAATCCATCAGTCATTAAGATAGCAATGACAACTAATTACTAGCAACATGAACCACATTCTAATCAAAAGGGCTCCTAAAAAAGAGGCCAAAGACCCATCTCCCTCCAGCTTATGGATGAAGCTAGAGGCTGGGTGGTTGCGGTGGAGGAGACTATAGTGGCGCTGCTGTACCCCTTTGGTGGAAAAGCAGAATTCAGTCCATAGTACTGTCAATCTGTCACCTTTTACCAGCTATAAAGTTAACTTAAAGGGTTGAACATGTTGTATGGAGGTGGAGAAAGTTACATGGATTTTAGTCCAACATTATTTGAATTTTTATCTAATTGTTATTCATCCTTTAGATACCTGGACATTTCATAGTATGCAAACTGGGTGGCTCTACCTGAACTACAGAATTTCTTGTTCAAAGGTTGGGAGTGGCTCACAGTACTGTAGTGCCCCTCAGATTCATAAAAATCAGATAATTCAGAGAGTTATAGACTTGGGACATTACACAAATATACTGAACTAAGAATGCCCCTTATGTAGCTCTTGGGAACATATCCTACTCAGAAAATGATACCTGAGGTGGTTTGTTAGTGTCAATAGTGGAAGACTTATAGTTTGGACTATTCAAAAGATATGCATTAGGTTAAAATTACCTTTTTAGGTTTAATTGCCATGTATAGATGAGTAAGTGAAGGATTAGACACACCCTGACAGATTTTAAGGAAATCAATCAACTTTGTTTTGACACTGCAGTCTATCATGCTAACCAACATTGTCACATTCTTTCCTTGTACTCCTCTATCCATATCCATCTGTTGTCTCATCTCACATCCACTCTCTCAACTGTGAAAGCAGCTCCCATTTTGGTGTGCCTGTACCGGGTGAGCTCAGCACACAGTTCTGGGAATGTGACCTTCTGCATCCAAAAGTTATGCCACCACCGCTGGTCATCCCAGGTTTGCATCACAATCTGATCCCACCATTTTGTGCTTGCTGCATGGGCCCAGAACTGCCAGTGGCCACCTACAGCAGCTGGCCAAGTTTCATTCAATAGCCACATTATCCACTTCCCCTTAGTATTTTCATTCGTAGCGTCGCACAGCCAGCCACACTCGTAGCTGTGGTTCCGCAAATTAGAAACAGAGTGACTGATTTGTTTTGTAAGCAGCCACCAAGAGCTCAGCTGATCTGTTCAGCATGCATGCTTGCCAGTGAGGTGGTGGACAGACTGAAAACTGGCATGAGAAAAACAGTACATATCAAGATGGACCAGAGGGAATTGTGGGAACTTGACCCCAAACTCCCACAACTCCTTGAGAGCACTGATTTCCCTCAGTATCACCAAGTGTTCCTGCAAACATATCCCACAAAGTAATGCGCCAGATGGTGGCGATGGGGATAATGGGATGCCTTCCCCACAGTGCGGCACAGCTGCTGTTGATACAACCTGGCACCGTGGGGACTCACTGCACCAGCAAAGGCAGCCAAATGTGAACACACCTCCACCAAAATAGCTATGCTAGCTGCTATATGCTGACAGAACTGTTACTGGTAAAGCTTCATGCCATAGACATAGTCTTAGATTTAAGCTCCTTGTGGCAGGGACCTGCTTTTTGCTGTGTTATTACAGTGTCTAGCACAATGGGATCCTGGTCCATGGTTAGGGTTCCTGGGCACTATGGTAATACAAATTATTAACATTAAATGGAACTGCCTTTATTTCATGGTCTCCTCTTAATCAATTTTTTAGTAGACTTTGTGACAAAGTTCCTGCTCTACCTTGGTGGGTCTTGTGCTTATTGGCGGATTTGCTTATCTTAGAGCTTCACGGCAGCCCTCAGCTTGGCCGTTTTTCTGAACCCACAGTCCAGGTCGACTCCTCCTGTGTCTGACCAGGAGTTGGGAGGATTTGTGGGGAACCCAGACCCGCCCTCTACTCCGGGTTCCAGCCCAGGGCCCTGTGGAATGCAGCTGTCTAGAGTGCCTCCTGGAACAGTTGTGCAACACCTACAACTCCCTGGGCTACTTCCCCATGGCCTCCTCCCAACACCTTCTTTATCCTCACCATAGGACTTTCCTCCTGGTATCTGATAATGCTTGTACACCTCAGTACTCCAACAGTCTGCGTTCTCACTCTCAGTTCCTAGTGCCTCTTGCTCCCAACTCCTCACACGCACACCACAAACTGAAGTGAGCTCCTTTTTAAAACCCAGGTGCCCTGATTAGCCTGCCTTAATTGAGTCTATCAGCTTCTTGATTGGCTGCAGGTGTTCTAATCAGCCTGTCTTAATTGTTTCCAGAAGGTTCCTGATTGTTCTGGAACCTTCCCTGTTACCTTACCCAGGGAAAAGGGACCTACTTAGTCTGGGGCTAATATATCTGCCTTCTATTAATCTCCTATAGCCATCTGGCCTGACCCTGTCACAACTTGCACACACAATATTCAGTATACAGAAATGGGTACAAACCACCAAGTAGCAGCTATTAACAGTGTCAGTACAGAAACCTAACAGGTATGCTAGGGTAATGTAAATTTAGACAATCATAAATAAGGTCAATATGCCATTGTGATGACTGCAGACCGATTTTTGTGGAGGACATTAGGCTAGTTAGTTTAGCAACAGTCTTATTAGGGTCTAATAAATGGTACTTAAGTGGTCACATGGTGATCTCCTAGCACTCCCTCAGCACCGAGGTGAGCAAACTCCAATCATCCCTGCTCTTTAGAGTTGTAGTAGCATTCCAGGTTTGCTTCCCAAATGCTCCTGCCTTTAAGCATACTTCTTCCTCCTCATTCAACAAACTCCTTGCTTTTCTCTGGGAGAGCGTTAAAGCAAAGCCTTCAAGCGAGCTGAGAGTTGAAATGGTTTTCCCTCTTTTGAGCAAGGAGGATGTAAAACTTAAACAGGCAGCGAACACGGTCATTGGTTTCCCTTACTCTTCAGAGTAGAGAAGTGTTTAAAAAGGCAGCAAACAGACCAGTGTCAAAACACACACCACTAAAAGGCATACACTGATCTTAGTACTGTTAGCTCTGAGGAGCAGACTTTTTGTAGTACAGCATTTGAGCTGCTCAACCACTTCCAGACCCAAGAACTAGCCTTCTACTTTTGATGCTCCAGGCTTGTTTCCTGGGAGGCCAAAGGGTTCTATCTGTTTCTGGGCCCTGCTAGATTATCTGTGGCCTCCCCACAAAGAACCTGGTCTGTAGCTAGGGTGACCAGATGTCCCGATTTTATAGGGACAGTCCCAATTTTGGGGTCTTTTTTTCTTATATAGGCTCCTACTACCCCCCACCCCCGTCCTGATTTTTCACACTTGCTGTCTGGTCACCCTACCTATAGCCTTGTAATCCATTCAGTATGTTGGCCCCTCCATCACACAAGTATGGCGTATTTTTGTTAAATTTTAGGTTTGTATGTTTGTGACAAGAATGTCACATACTTTGCTGTACTATCACAACAGCATGTGTACATAAAGCTTCTACCAGCCTGCAACAATAGAAAGACAAGCAGCAATCAAAACCTGCCAAGATCTACCTCATCTGGAAATTCACTGACTGCCAGCAAGTAGGTGGCTATGTTCAGATGAATTTTTTAACCTAGTCTTCCTTGAATTTGCTTTTATCATCCCCCAGAATATTTTTATTTTGGGATAGTCCCCCACATATCTAGAAGTACCAGTTTTACCACTACTATGCTAGCAGAGGACCGTCTGTCATACCCTATTCTGCAAGGCTTTTTAAATGGAAAGTTCTATAGGAGATTCTAGAATACACCATTTAGATTATTAGAACAGATGGACACTTTGAATCTGGTTCTCCAAAATTCCCTTCTCAGTGTTCAGCATCAAATCCGGCAGCAAAAAACCAAGTTCACATTTAATTTAAATTATTCTTTATATTTTAGTTTGTACTTTAAAAAAATTATATTAGTTATTAGAGAGCTACTGAATAATGATAAATCCTGGCAGTTTAATATCCTTTGAATAGGAGAAGGCACTCAGTCCATCTTCGACTAGTAGAAAACACTGCAGTGAACTCAGATCTTGGGGGCTGCATTACTTTGCTGAAAAGCTACATTTTCTTTAAATCAGTAGTGCCCTGAAGAGTACTGGAGCCTTATTAAAAACCTCAGTAATCATCATCTCTAATAGATGGCTTATCTACAATATTTTTATTTACATTGACACTGGCCATTTCTGAATGAACAGAAATGAAGCAGGACCCCTTAATCTTTATTCAGAAGTTTCTTTTGCTTACAAAGAATTCAGGCAGCAGAATAAATATTTAGCATCAAGAATTTAGAGCATGGGAGGAGCCAAACTATCCTCTGTAAGTGACTTTCAGCCTACATTCTGCACATTTTTGTAAGCCTCTTGGTACAACACGGTCTGCCAGAAATTAAACCCAGAATTTTAAAAACCTCATAAGAAAGCAAAGCACAAATAAATGTAGTTTAAACACATTTATTATGGAAATAAAGCATAAAGTATATCTGCTGGTTGCTTAGTTACTGAAGTATAACAGAGTACCAACCTACATCAAAATCCATTCTTCCCCTGCCCTAGAATGCAAGTCACATTACCATGGAAATTAACTGTCCCTTTGAAAGTGAAGTCATATTTTGCTGCCAGCAAAGTGATTTAAAAAACAAAAAACAAAAAAAACTTT